ACCAGAGACCCAGCCGTGCCACGGAGACCCGCGCTATCTTTACGGGGGCTGTCTCGCTGTGTAGACAGACCGCATCATTCCCAAACGAAGACCACTCAAGGTGAAGCAAGTGAGATGATACGCCTTGCCAAGACAGTTACTCATTGACCAACATATCAGACTCATTTTGTGGATAAAAAATGTATCTTCAAAGTAAAATTATTTTCAAGATAGTAGATTGATGTAAACATGTTCAAAATGAATTCTTTCAATTTAAAAATACATTAGCAGAATAATTATTCTTGATACACAGTCATGCACTTTCATCACTCTGTTAAACTCGATTTCAGCCACTGATTTCTTTCTAAAAATGTGTGTTTTTTTTTTCAGTCTGACTTAATGTCTTGTGATGTTCTTCAAGAAATAAGAAAAAGTGCTGAAAAGCGAGGCTGTTTACTCTGAGGACTAAAATGTGCCTGATTCAAGCCATGGTATTTTTCAGTCTCTTCATACGCATGCGTCACCACTTGTCTGTCACTTCATTTGTCTGTCTCTGTCAAACTGTGGTGGCTTGTGTGTTGCTGCGATGCTGGAAGCCATGTCCCTGGTATTTCACATGCCAGCAGCGTCGCCCAAAGTGAACGGGTTTCAGCAGAGCGTCCAGACTGAGAAGAGACTATGAAGAAGGAGGAGGCTGCCCCCTTCAGAGTAATCAGCCACGGAAAGCCCGTGCATAGCACCGAGACATTGCCAGTCCCTGAAAAGCTCATGCACCGAAGAAGCAGAACTTGTCAGAGACAGAGCGGGAAGATGAGCCCCTCGGTGGGAAGGCCCTCGGAGGATGACTGAGGGAGGGCTGCCTTCTCAAGTACAGTCGCCACAGAGACACGGACTGAGTACATCTTGCAGGAATCAGGCCTGTGGGCGCTTCATCCACTGATGCGGCACGACTCAAACTGAGGAGAGACAGCTGTAAGTATCGGTTAGTAACTGGAACTTGGAATGTCCAAAGCATGAGTCTAGCAGAGTGGAAAGTCATTAAAAACGGGATGGGCGGCATCAAGGTGTCTAGTCTAGGTGTTGGTGAGCTGAAATGGACACTCCTTGGCCATTGTGAATCAGAGACTCGTCAGGCTGACTATGCCGGCCATGACACCGTCCAGAGGGATGCTTTGCCTTCACATCAAAAAGGACGCGCGTCAAGATCTATCTTGAAGTTCACTGCGGCCTGTGAGAGGGTGATGTCTATCTGCACACCAGGAAATCCAATCAGTACAGCTGTTCTTCAGATTTGTGCTGCACCCACGGAAGCTAGTGATGAAGAAACTAAAGAATCCTATCAACGTCTTCAGTCTGAAATGGCTCAAACATGCGATCAAGATGCACTGACGGTTCTTGGTGACTGGAGTGCAGAAGTTGGGAAGAAAGAGGAAGGACCAGCAGTTGGAATAGATGGTCTTGGTGATAGAAAGGAAGCTGGAGATGGTAGGATAGGATTTTGCAAAACCAATCACTTGTTTATAGCAAACACCTTTATTCAACCACACAAAGGTGACTATACACATGGATTTCTCCAGCTGGAATATGCAGAAATCCAATCGATTACATCGGTGGGAAGAGATGACGGGGAAGCTCAAGATCACCCTTTAAAACCAGGCCAGGGGCCACTGTGGAACAGACCACCAGTTGCAGGTTGAACCTGAAGAAAATTCAAACAGGTCCACGAGAGCCAAAACATGGACTTGACCATATCCCACCTGAATTTCGAGAACACTCAAGAAGAGAGCTGCACGTTAAACACTAAAGGCAGAAGACTCGATGAGTCAGGAGAGGTCAAGAACACCGAACACGCAGAAAGCAAAAGGTCACCCAAAAGCCAGGAAAGAAAGAAAAGGTCAAAGTGAATGTCCAAAGAGACTCTGAAACTTGCCAGCGTTTGTGGAGCGGTTAGCAAGGAAGAGCACGCTCGGTGTGTCCTGGTCGACTTCAACCATTTCAAGAGGTAGCAGAGGAACAAGAACCAGCGGTACCGAAGGAAGAAGTCCAAGCTGCACTGAAAACATTAGCCCCAAACAGGCTCCAGGGATCGATGGAATACCAATCGAAATGTTTCCTTCCACAAACTCGTCTACGCCAAGAAATTTGGATGACAGCTACTTGGCCAACCGCCTGGAAGAGATCCATTTTGTACCCGTTCCAAAGAAAGGCCACCCGGAATGCACAAATTATAGAACCATAGGCTTGAGATCCCATGCAAGTAAAATTTTGCGGAAGATCATCCAATAATGGTGGCAGCAGTCCATTGACAGGGAGCTGCCGAAGGTTCAGGCCGGACTCTGAAGAGGACGTGGAATAAAGGCTATCATTGCAGATGCCAGCTGGATTGTGGCTGAAAACAGAGAATACCAGAAAGATGCTTACTTGTGTTCTATTGACTATGCAAAAGGCATCCGACTGGGTGGATCACCACGAATGATCGATTGCCTTGAGAAGAACAGGACTTCCAGAACAGGTCGTTGTGCTCACGCGGAACGTGTACGTGGAGCACAAGGCCACCGTGCCCACAGAACAAGGGAATATACTGCATGGTTTAACATCAGGAGAGGCGTGCGTCAGGGTTGTATCCTCTCGCCATACTTATTCAACCTTATGCTGAGTCAATTGTCCGACGCTGGATGATATTCATCTGAATGCAGCATCAGAACCGGAGGAAGGCTTACTAACGATGTGCGAGATACGGTGACACAACCCACTTGCTGAAATCGAGGCGGACTGAAGTCTTTGTTGAGAAAGATCTGCGATTGCAGCCTTCCGGATGGATTCCAACTCGATGTCAAGAAGACCACATTCTCACCACGGGACCACTAGGTAACACGGTGATCGATGGAGAAAAGGCTGAGGTTGTCACGGATTTTGTCTTGCTTGGGTCCACAGTCAATGCTCCTGGAAGCAGCCGTCAAGAGCTCAGGAGACTGTTGCATGAGGTCAACCTGCTGCACAGGACCACGTTAGAGGCCCTCCTCAGAAAAGCAGGAAGGGTCCCAATAAGATGGAAAAGATCAGGACTTAGGTGAGCCTGACGGAAGCCATAGCGTTTTCAATCACCTCACATGCATTTGAACGTTGGACGCCGGATAAGAAAGACCGAAGAAGATACTGGGAGCGTAGAGGGAGAGTGGGTTGGAAAGGGGGGACCGATGACAAGGATCTACGTGTGACCTCCTCCCTGGGGGACGGACAACAGAAAAGTGGGTGAAGGGAGACGTCGGACAGGGCAAGATATGACAAAATAATTTATAAATTATCAAGGGTTCATGAAGGAGGGGGGAGCAGGGAGGGAGGGGAAAAATGAGGAGCTGATGCCAAGGGCTTAGGTGGAGAGCAAATGTTTTGAGACTGATGAGGGCAATGAATGTAAAAATGTGCTTTACACAATTGATGTATGTATGGATTGTGATAAGAGCTGTATGAGCCCCTAATAAAAGGATTGAAAAAAAAAAAGCAAACAAAAGGGAATCCTCTCTGACCTTCGACCAGGGACGTGAACAGCCTGGACCATGAAGAGTCCATTGGAAAGTGGATGATTAGAGATGTAGTTAGCTTAAGATTCAGTACCTTGTCATTTGATCAGCATCTTTTTTACTCATTTAAAATTTATTCTAGTTTTAAATATTTTCTACTTTCTTTTCGATTAAGGTTTTATTTAATTAATTGTTGTTAGTTTTTTTGTTTTGTTGTTGTATGTTTTCTGTATATGAAATCCAGGATAAGTAAGTCTACAGAGACAGTAATTGGATTAATGGTTGGCATTTATTGTTGGGGGGTATGTCAGGGAATGTTGGGGGAAGATAAGGAGCTAATAGCAATGAGTACAAGAAAAAAGGCATGTTCTGAAATTGATTGCGGTGATGATTGTACAATTCTTCTTGACATGATTGAACAATTGAATTGTATGGTGTGGATTATAAGCCAATACTCATATAACTGGTTTGTTTGTTTTCTTTATTTAAAGAAAATGGTTGTAACCAAAGTGAATAAATAGTTGTAACTAAAGTGAAAAAAAAATGACCAAAGAAGAAGAATGGGCGCATTTGGACTCCGGTGCTGTGAGACTATTTTAAGGACCATGGACTGCCCAAAGAACAAGAGACCTGTCTAGGACGAAGCACAGCCAGAGTGTCCCTGAGAGTCAAGGATGGCAAGACTTTCTCTCCTGTGTACTGCGGACGTGCGGTCAGGAGAGACCAGTCCCCGGAGGAGGACATCGCACTTGGTAAAATGGAGGGGCAGCGACAAAGAGGAAGACCCTGGACGACGGACTGGCACGGCGGCTGCAGCCCTGGGCTCAGCGTAAGGATAATTGTGAGGATGGCACAGGGAGGGTCACGATGAGCTGGAACCGACTGGACAGTACCTAACAACCACCGGCGCCAGCTGACCATTAGTCCTATTACTGAACCCATTGCCTGAGACCTGCTGTAGAAGGAACAGACACCCAGGGGAGACGGAGTTGTCTATTTTCAGCTGGGTTCTGGTCCTCAGCTGCCAGCACAGCGCACCCAGTAGGTGCTCACTCAAAACGGAGTGACTGAATGAAGCTCAGATTAAAGAACATGTCCAGGGGCCGGGAAGTGGTGGGCAGGATTGTGACCGAGTCTGCCCCAGACCCCCAGAACACCATGCTGGGCGCGCCCGGCCCCAGGAGCTCAGTCCAGTATCACGTGTCCACTTAAGTTGAGGCCAGGGCTAAGAGGTAGTCGCTAGCGATGCCCAGAAGCTTAGAGCCCAGTGTCATGAGACTGTGCCCTGTCTGGGTCTCAAACCGGGTAGCTCCTGCTCTGTGCCCATGCGTGGCCTGGACCGGTCCGTGTGTCCTCTGCCTTTATCACGTGTCCTCCGCCTGACTTGAGCCTCCCTCCTGATCCTTCTCTTGTTCTTCCCCCTCCCCAGCCACCCAGCGCCCACCATGCCACCCCACGAGCATTTCCAGGCACCCCCGGGACCAGCGCCGGCAGCCGTACCTTGTAGCCCTGGTTGATGCCGTTGATGAACTGGGGACTGGGGGCATTCCAGGTGAGGCGGATGGCCGTGGAGTTGGTGGCTTCTGCATGTACATTGCCCGGAGGGACTGTGGGCACTGGGGGCAATAAGAAAGGGGTAGGGGGTAGAGTGGGTGCAGGCCCAGCTGAGTATCTCACCCAGGGAGGGAGAGAAATGGGGACAGGCTTAGTACCCCCACCCCGCCCACCTCCTGGGTGGACTTACACCCCTCGTTCCCTCTGCCCCCTTCACAGTGGAATGAGAGCTATAAGGGATGGCAGCAGGGGCTCTGGGGTAATGTGATGCTGGCTGGAAGTCCCTGTGTCCCTGAACCTCTGCCCTTGGCCATGTCCCAGCCAGCTTTCCTGCTGTAGAGGGTGGGAGGCAGAGTCCAGCCCAGAATGCAATAGGGAGGGTCTGGGGAACAGAGACGACACAGGCAGAGGTTCTCGGGCCCTGACAGGCACAGGACCTGACAGGTGGGGGGCCCAAAGGGACACAGGCCCTGCTAGGTAGGAGACCCACAGATACAGGGCCCCACTCAGAGCAGACGCATGAGGGCAGGACCCGCAGACACGAGGCACGCAGGAATGGAGCCCGCATGGCTGGGGCCCCCTGGGAGGGGCCCACAGGGGCGGGGCCGGGAGGGAGGTCTGCCCACCTCCCTGCAGCGTCCACTCAGTGACTTTGCTGCTGTAGACGCCCAGTCCTGCGCTGTTGTAGGCTGCCACCTCGATCTCATAGTTGGTCCAGATGATGAGGTCTTCCAGCAGCAGGTTGTTGACATCGGCATCTGTGATGTTCTTAAACTGGTACCCCACGGGCAGCCCAGCCAGGCAGTACCTAGGAAGGGGAGGGGAAGGGGACAGCGGGCTCAGAGGCGGCGTGCTCACTTGGGCTCACTCCTCTGTGCCTTGGGACAGCTGTGCTGCCTGACACAGCGCTGTGTCCCATGGACAGCCACCGCCCGTGGCCCAGGGGCCCTTGCAGGGTCAGGAGTGCCCAGGGGGAGCTGGAGTTGTGTCTGGCTTTACTGTCAAACCCTGAGTTGCACCAGGTACATGTGGCGCGCCAGACCTCTTTAGAGTATTGCAAAGCAAGGATGCTGCTTTGAGGACCAAGGGGAGCCTGGCCCAAGCTGGGGAGCTTCGATTGCGCGTGAAAGTTGGGCTGTGAGTCAGGGAGGCCTAAGAAGAATCAACGCATTTGAACGACGACGGTGCCGGTGGAGAATATTGAAAGTCCCGCGGACTGCCCCACGAGCCAACACTCAGCAGACACATGGCCAGAGTGCACCGAGGAGGCAAGGACGGCGAGACTTGGTCTCACATACTATAGAGATGCTGTCAAGAGAGACCAGCCCCCGGAGAAGGACGCCGTGCTTGGTCAAGTGGAGGGGCAGCGAGGAAGAGAATGGCCCTCCAGGAGGTGGATGGACACGGTGGCTGGGCATAAGAACGCTTTGAGGATGAAGCAGGACGGGCCGCATCGCACTGCATTGTACCCACCCAGGGTGGCTGTGAACTGGGGCCCAGACCAAGGCACCACCACGGACCCAACTACATGGCTGTCAGTTCACGCAAACAGCCAGAGGTAGCCAACACCAGGCCGGCGACTGACCCGGTGGTCCCCACTCCCGGCGGGCCTGCAAGCGGCAGGGCAGGACTGTGGCCCTCAGGTTCCCCGGCGTCTCTGGGCCGGCCTGGCTGCCACCCTTTCGGTTAATGCTTCAGTGCAGACCCATTTGTGCCTACGCCCCAATTCCAAGCTGGTTGCCCGGGAGGAATGTTTGCTTTGCAGGAGGAGGAAGACCGGGATGTGGCTGCAACCCAGGAAAGGGGCCTTGTTTGGGGGTAGCTGAGCTTTAGGACGGCCCAGAACCCTGGGTCAGCAACATCGAGAGGGGTGATGCGTTAGCACTGCCCGGAGGGCTCTGAGGCCGGCCAGGCAAACAGCAGGTCAAAGTGCTTAGCTGAGGAAGTTCACACTCCACCTCTAACCAGCCACAGGCAAACCCTGCTCCCCCTTCAGAGCTCGAGGGGGGTGACAAGGAGCGGGGCCCTGGACAGCCCTGCAAACAGAAGTCCAGGAAACTGGCCTGCGTGTTCTAGCCTGATCCAAAGGTCCACTTTCCAACTTCACCATCAGCCTGATGTCACGCTGGGCCTGGGCGGAGTCCTGGAGTCAGGTAAATTAGCTCCTTCTGGCCCTGTCCCCCTGTGGGTCTCCCCGCAGGGCAGCGCTGACCTCAGGCAGACTTGCCCAGTCACAGTACTTCCTGGGTCCACATTGTTGGCATCCCAGGCTCCTGCTGCTGGAAGTTCATCCAGATGTCTAACCTGAATGTGTCCTGTTGCCACGCAGGGGGCCCCCGGGCTTGTTAGATGGAGCAGGGCTGCTGAGAATGTGCATGGTTTTCTAACCGGCTTCAGAGCCTCCCCATCCCCTCCCTGCCTCCCGGGTCTGGGGTCTGCACCCTCCTCGGGGGCAGGGGCGCCTACCTGATGGTGTACCCCTTGAGAAGGCCGTTTTGGTGGTTCTCAGGAGGGGGCTGCCACTGGATCATGATGGACTGGTTGGTCCGGCCGCTGGCAATGACGTTCTGAGGGGGGGCTGTGGGGGGCTCCTCGGGGAGGGAGACCCTGGATGGGAAATCGGCAAGAGTGAGGAGGCTGCTGTCTGCTAGTGGGCTCCGGGTCAAGCAGAGGAGCTTCCGGGGCTCCGAGGGGCAGCCTGGCTCCTCCCTGCCCGGTCCCGGAAGGCCCTGGGCATGAGTGAGGCCAGTTGGGACTTGTGGCATAACAGATCCCCCACTAGGCTGCTGTGTGTGCACTCTGAGCTTGTATCTTCAGAAAGGATGAAAAACAACCCCCCTCCCCCCCACCCTGAACCCCTGCCCTGTGCCTGCCTTAGAAGACTGGCCAAGGGTCCTCTGAGACCAAGGGCCTTAAAAAACCCACAACTCCTGGTCACTGGGTCAGTGATGATCAGAGCACCTCTCTAGGGCAGGGTAGAACTGCCCCTGTGGGTTTCTGAGACGCAACTCTTCACGGGAGCAGAAAGCCTCCTCTTTCTCTTATGGAGCGGCTGGTGGTTTCAAACTGCTGACCTTGTGGTCAGCAGCCCCTCGACTACTACGGCCCTAGGACCCTCCCCCCAATGAACTGATACCAGAAAAGCCAAGCTCACAGGTGGTGGTGGTCCGGCTTGGCCAAGTTGATTCTGACTCACAGGAGCCCTGCAGGACAGGACAGAACTGCCCTACGGGTGTCCCAGGCAGGGGGTGTCCCAGGCAGGGTCCTCACGGGCCGACCGACAGGCCTTTCTCCTTCCGAGGGAGGTGCAGCCTCCCTGCACTTAACTGCTGCGCACCCCAGCGGAGCGTCTTCCAGAAACTTGGGGTGCATGGACCCCGGCTATTCCGGACTGTGAGTGTTCAAACAATGATGCCTGTTTTTTTTTTATTTTTTATTGTTTTGCAGTTGGGGCAAGGGTCAATGAGGGAGCCCCAGGCTGGGGCAGTGGTGTGTGTGTGGGGGGAAGGCAGGGTGCGGAATGCGAAAGCTCCCTAGCCTCACCTCTGCAGCCCAGAGCCTGCGTTCCACCTGAGCACATTTTTCACCCAGAGGACATGCATCCGTTACAGACAGAAGTTAATTATTTTTGATGGATGTCTTTCCCTTTTTTTTATTTATTTTTATGTTCTCTCCGCCCCACCCATTCTGATGGCTAGCCGTCCAAAGTGTTTTGCACACGGTACTGCCTCCAAAGCTCAGGGCCGGGTGATTTAATTTTCTGCCTGGTGGCGGGCACGAGTGGCCTCAGGCGACAGGGAGGGTTGGGATCTGTGGGATCCATGGGGTCCTCTTTGGACCCCACTGGGCCTCTCTCTCCCCTGTGGCTTTGCAGCTGCAGGCGGGGCTGGGGACCCTGCTGCTTTGTTCCTGACACCTGTTGTGGCCCACTCCGGGCGTGGTACACAGTAGGTGCTCAACAGAGAGTGGACACATGTGGTCTCAGTGGCCACCCTCAATGCAGACCCATGGCTGGTCCTTCTATTTTCTGTTAGAGAGCTCACCCCCCACCCAAACCATGGCTCGAGCATGTGGGAACTGCAGTACACCCCACAGGATGGCCTTAAGCCCGGGGTCTCTGAGTGAGAGACTCAGGGCCTCTTTTTGGGAGCCGGAGCCTGAGTTCGGGGCCTGCGCCCTGTGCCTCGTCTTTCTCACTGGGGGTGCCCGCTGGTTCTAAGGGACCGAGGCAGTCAGAACTTGCCACCTGCCCGGAGATGGAGGAGAAACGGACCCCAAAGACAGCGGCATCTCCCACGGGCAAACGTCTGACGCCCTCACCCACAAGAAGGGGCCATTGTGCCGGAACTTCTCAGAAGGGTTTACCCACTTTGATTCGATTTCCATCGTCTTATTTTGGACTCCCCTCATCTTATAAAAAGCTTTGGTGACCGATGACCGGTGTCGTACAAGGGCCCCAACCTGTAGCCCCATGAGGTTCTAAGTCCCTCGGGAGCGTCACACCCTTTCAACAATGCTGGTGGCCTGGGGGAGTGGGTGTTACAGGGCTGAGCAGGTGAGTTTCCGAACCTGTGATTTCACAGTCCAATTATGACTCCTGCCCACCCTCCTGCCTTTGTGTCCCTCCCCCCACCCCCAGAAGAACTCTGCTCCCTAAGGTGTTCAGTGGCTAGTTTTTCAGAAGCTGGTCACCAGATCTTTCTTGTAAGGGGCTTCTGGGGTGACCCGAACTGTCCACTTGTGGGTTAGTAGCCTAATGCTAACCGTTTGCACCTTCCAGAAAGCCAAGTCAAACTGGCTGCCTGGCCAGATGATTCTAACTCCACAGGCTCTGGAGCGGAGCAGCCAGCCACCTCTCTGCTGTGGAGGGACTGGTGAGTGCCAACCTCTTTTAACCCTTGGTGCCACTTAACCCTTGGTGCCACCAGGGCCCCTTGGGCACCCTCTAGGGATGGCTCATTTCCTGCTGTCCCATTCACACCTTCCAGCACTCGGGCAGGTAGGGCGCGGGCATCTTTGAACTCGTTTTACAGATTTGGAGCCTGAGTCCCGAGGGTCAGAGAGAACTCCAGCGGGGTGCGTATTGATGTTGGCTGTCCCCCGCCTCCCCCACCTTGGGTGCGTCACCGGGAGCGGTAGCCGTGGAGGGAGCGGGCCTCCTCACCTCTCCGTGTCCCTGCTGAACTGGCCTTTCCCCACGTCATTGGCGGCACACAGTCGGAACTGGTAGGACCGGGCTGGGGCCAGGCCCTTGACCATCACTGAGGTTGCCTCGGGGTCCACGCTGGCCAGGAGCACCGTCCAGGGGGCGTCTGCAGGGGCAGAAGGTGGGGCAGAGTGGGAAGCTGGGGGAACTACCATACCCCCCTCCCAGCAGGGGCCACACCTCACAGGCTAGCCGAGGAGCGCCTGGCCCTGCAAGGGGAAGAGGCAGTCAACCACGCCATCTTTCTCCAGTGCCTTAGCCGGTGACTGGGGTCGGGGGCCAGAGGTGCTGGGTGAAGAAGCAAGGGCTCTTGGGAACTGAGACACAGTCACCTTGGTATGTTTCTAAGGCCCAAGAGTTCAAGGCCACTCAAGAACTCACTACCAGTGAGTCCATTCTGACTCATAGCGACCACAGGGTGGAACTGGCCCTGTGGGTGTCTGAGACCATCAACTCTTTAGGGGAGCAGCAAACCTCCTCTTTGTCCCACAGAGCAGCTGGTGGGCTTGAACTGCTGACCTTGAGGTTAGCAGCCTGGCCTGCAGTCCACTGCGCCACTGGATAGAGGGGGAGGGCGCTGCAATTTGAGGAGCCCCTGAGACTCTGGTCCTCAGTCCCCCTTCAGCTCTGGGCCTGAACGCACCCCGAGGCTGACTCTTCAGCCGGATAACAGACAGCTCTATCGGGGAACAACCACATGAGGGGGCAGGCACACCTTAGAACAATCCACCACCGAACACGGAAGGGCAGCTGTGTCTGAGCACAGGTGCAGAAGGGCCAGGCAAGGAGGAGGCACGGGGAGGAAGGGGGAGGAGGGATGTGACATGGGGACAGCAGTGAGCTGGAATAACAGGAGTCTGAGTTGCTGAATGGAAAACCGATCTGCTCTGTAAACCCACACCCGCTCGCAGCCAAAGGGAAAGGACAAACAGCGGCCCCTCACCCGTCACCCTGTTCAAGGTTCACCACGGGCACATTTTACGGAGGAGAAATGGGAGGCTCAGAGAGGCGCGGGAAGTGCCACGGCCTGCCGACTCACTAACTCACTGCCCTCGAGTTGAGGCTGACTCACAGCAAGCTGCCCCTGTGAGTTTCCCAGACTGTATCTGTTTATGGGCACAGAACTCCTGCCCCATCTTTCTCCCGAGGAGCGGCCGGTGGTTTCGAACTGCTGACCTTGTGGGTTGCAGCCCAGCTTGTAACCATTAGGCCACCGGAGCTCCCCTGGATGGCCAACAGAACCTTGGAAGAAGTACAGCCAGCGTGCTCCTTAGAGGCACTGATGGAGGGGCTTGGACATGCTGGCAGGAGGGACCAGTCCCTGGAGGGCATCCCGCGTGGAAGGGCAGTGTGAAAGAGGCAGGGCCTCCAGGAGGTGGATGGACACAGTGGCTGAGAACCATTGTGAGGATGGTGTGGGACCAGGCAGCATTTCGTTCTGTTGTTCATGGGGTCCTTATGGGTTGGAACTGACCCATGATCCCGAACAACAGAGGCACAAAACCGAGGGCCCCTGAGGTCCTGGCAGCGTCGGGGGTGGTGGTAGGGGGTGGAGTAGGGTGGGGGCAGCCTTACTGTTTTCAGACATCTCCAGGATGTATCGGAGCAGAGGGCTGTTGCCGTCGAAGGGTTTGGCCCATGTCAAGTTGATAGCTCGCTTCTCGGTGGCGCTGAGGGTGGCCACTGGGCGCTCAGGGGCATGGGGCAATTGCCTGGGGGACAGAGAGGCATGGTGGGGGACCTCAAGCTGCCCTGGCACCCATGCCTCCCAGCCCGATGCCTGGAGATCCTTCTCCGGAGCCCACCTGCCCAGCACCAGTCCCATCCCCCTGCTGGGGTACAGCCCGGAGGATGGGGGGCAGGTGGGTGTGTCACACTAGACCTCGTGGCTTGCCTGGTGGGGACTGACTGGTTTGCTCTGCGCCTGGGGCCTTCTCCTGTGGGCACAGGGTGCACCCTCACCTGACCCGCAGGTGGGCACTCCGGGAGTCGTTGCCTCCGACCGAAAGCACACGACAGGTGTATGTGCCGATGTCCCCCGACCACGTCTGCGAGATGTGCAGGGAGCCGTTCTTGTCCAGGCGGGTACGGGGGTTGCCCTCCACACCCAGGGTGGCCCCGTCCTTCTCCCAGACGTACCTATGGGCGAGGAGCAGGAGAGGTGAGGGGGGGTGAGCGGGATGGTGTTCTGTGGGTGGGGTGGGCCGACTTCATGCACAATGGAACCAGATGACGCCGGGGCCTGCGCCAACCCCCTGGACAGGCTGATTGCCTGCCGGACCGGTGTGCTCCACTGGCCGTTCCTTGTTGGGTTTCCAGAACTGGATCACCGGGACTTTCCTCCTACTCTGCCTGAGCCCTGGAGTCCCGGGGAAACCTGTTCAGATTCAATCACAACATACAAGCTGTGTGTGTGTGTGTGTGTGGTGTGCACTGGCCAGGACTCGCACCCGTGTCTCCCGCATGGAAGACGAGGATTCTACAGCCAACTCACCACGGCCCTCTCCCAAAGCGCACAGGGTTGATTCTGACTCTCAGAGACCTCACGGGGCAGAGCAGACCTGTCTCCGAGGACACACACCTTTCTTCTTTGGGACGGGCTAGGGGTTCTGGCGGCTGACCTTTCAGTTAACAGCCAAGTGCGTGACCACAGCGTGGGCGAGGGGAGGCAGGCTCCACCAGCTCAAGGCTGAGAAGCTTCCGGACTCCGTCTGCAGCAGTTCGTCCAGGGCTGGTCTTGGGCTGGGCCGGGCATGGGGGAAGACTGACCCTGACTCCTGGCGGCCCATGCCTGCCAGAAAGAAATCCATGCCCTGAGCTCTCACGGGCCAAGATTTGGGAAGGAGGTTGCCAGCCCTTTCTTCTGTGGTACCTCTGGGCAGACTCAAACCTTTCCATGAGCAGCCTAACGTGTGAGCTGGCACCTGGCCATCTGAACTGCCCGGGGAGCATGGGGAGGCTGCTGGAGTTCTCCATCTCGGTGGTGGGTGGTGGGCAGGGCAGGGGCCGCCCCGTTCTCAGTTGTTCCCGCACCTCCAGTTCAGCGCTAGGGCAGCGCCTGGTTGCTTTTGGCCAGCGGCCACTGGGACGCAGCCAGCACCACAAAGCCAGGCGGAAGGGCGGAAAGACGGAGGCTGGGAAAGGAGACCGGCTTCCGCCCGGCACGCATTTTTGAATTAGTTTTACGAGGGGAATCATCTGATCGATGCGTCGCTGTGAAAAATTGACTTCAGTGTCCAAAAAATCACTTTGGCTTCGGTCAGCCAGTACAAACAGGCCCTGAGAAATGACTCCCGCGCCCGAGCCTGACATGCCAGCCATCTCTTCTGGGGGAGGCCAGTCATCCTTGTCATTGGCTCTGGGGAGGATGGCACGCTGCTACCACGGCGGCGGGGTGCGGTGGCTCTCCGTGCTGGGGCTGGCCTGTGTGGGGTGGCGACCAAGAACCAATGGCCTTGGGAATGGCGGGTGCACTTGCAGAGCATGCTAGCGGGGCCGTGGTGGGAGCTGTGGAAGAGGGATCCTCTCCCTCAGGGGGACCGAGGCTCGGCTCCCAGCCAGCCCACCATCTGTCAGCGGAGGCTGGGGTGTCCAGAGAATGCTGAGCCGGTTTCAGCGGTTCACTCCGATGAAGACAGACTAGGAAGAAAGGTCGGGCTACCTGTTTCTGAAACCAGCCCGTGAAGGCCTTAGGGACAGGGCAGGCCCATCTGCGCCTGCCGTGGCGGCAGAGCAGGACCAGGCAGGAGAATCGGCCCATGGGACACAGGGGTCACCCTGAGCCAGGGGTCACCTCCATGGCAGCTAATGTAAGGACAATAGGAATTGCTCGGGGGAGGGAGCTTGTCATTTTTTTTGAAGCCTAAGTTATGAGAAGAAAAGCAGAGACAGAAAAGTAGAAAATATAGATTAAAAAGTAGGGAAAAACCTAAACAAACCCATTACTCTTAAAATAACAAATATTAAGGTAGCAAATGGACATTGGGCCTCCACTCAAGTATTCCCTCAATGCAAGAACACTTTGTTCTATTAAACTGGCATTCCATGATGCTCACCTTCCCGACACGATCGCTGAAGACAAATGGGCGCATAAGCAAATGTGGTGAAGAAAGCTGATGGTGCCCGCCTATCAAAAGATAAAGCATCTGGGGTCTTAAAGGCTTGAAGATAAACACACGGCCATCTAGCGGAGAAGCAACAAAGCCCACATGGAAGAAGTACAACAGCCTGTGTGATCACGAGGTGTTAATGGGATCAGGTTATCAGGCATCAAAGAACAAAAAAATCATATCATTGTGAATGAGGGGGAATGTGGACTGGGGACCCAAAGCTCATCTGTAGGCAACTGGACAACTCCTTACAGAAGGGTCGTGGGGAGGAAGTCAGGGTGCAGTGTAGCAACAATGAAACTACAACATTCCTCTAGATTTTAAATGCTTCCTCCCCCCACTATCATGAACCCAATTCTACCTTACAAATCCAGTTAGACCAGAGGATGTACACTGGTACAGTTAGGAACTGGAAATACAGGGAATCCAGGACAGATGATCCCTTCAGGACCATTGGTGAGAGTGGCGATATCAGGAGGGTGGAGGGAAGGGCGAACTGATCACAAGGATCTACATATAACCTCCTCCCTGGGGGACAGACAACAGAAAAGTGGATGAAGGGAGACATCGGACAGTGTAAGATATGACAAAATAATAGTAATTTATAAATTATCAAGGGTTTGTGAAGGAGGGAGGGTGGGGGTGGGAGGGGGAAAATGAGGAGCTGATGCCAAGGGCTCAAGTAGAAAGCAAATGTTTTGAGAATGATGAGGGCAATGAATGTACAAATGTGTTTGACACAATGGATGGATGGATGGATTGTGATCAGTTGTATGAGCCCCCAAGAAAACAATAAAACTATAAATAAAGAAACAACCTCAAGACCTATTCCTATCAGAGTAGATCCAGACTCAGTGATCCTACAAGACAGAGGAGGGCTGCCTTATGGGGTTTCTGAGCCTGTCTATACTCTTTATGGAAGCAGGCGGCTTCATCTTGCTCCTGCAGCAGCTTGTGGGTTTGAACCGCTGCCCTTGAGGTTAGCAGTCTGACGCCTGCCCGACAGCACTCCCGGGCTCCGCGGTAGTTAGGACTCAAAAATCAAAGCAAAAAACCCAAACTCACTGCTACCGAGTCATTCTGACTCACCGCGACCCCAATGGGGCAGGACAGAACTGCTCCGTGAAGTTTCAGAGACTGTAACTCGTGATGGCAGTTCAAAGTCCCAACTTTCTCCTGTGGAGCTACTGGTGGTTTTGAACTGCCGATGTTGCTGTTGGTGGCCCACCGTGCACCCACTACACCACCAGGGCTCCTTGCTAGTTGTGAGGTCAGGAGCTGTCACATGGACGCTGTCAACAAGAACAACAGAACCTAGTTGTCACCCACCACCCCTGCCATCAAGTCAATTCTGATTCACAGCGACCCTGCAGGGTGGATTAGAACCGCTCCATGGGGTTCCGATCTGTGGATCTTGATGGGATCCTCTCTTTGGCTGGGGTCGAACTGCTGACCTTACAGTGAACAGTCTGGTGCTTATCCCAGGGCGCCACCAGGGCTCCAGACCTGACTTGGCTTCAGCTTATGGTACTTCACGAGAACTCAGCTCTCCTCAATGTAGAGAACCCGCATCCTCCCCACTGGACCAGTCAGCCACATCGTAGTAAACGGAGCAGAGACGGAAGTGGCCAAGGATTTCTTCTTGCTTGGATCTGCAATCAATGCTCACGGAAGCAGCAGGCAAGAGGTTAAGTGACACATTGCGCAAGACCTCTTGAGAGTGTTGAAGAGCAAGGACGTGACTTTGAGGACTAAGGTGCGCCTGGCCCCAGCCGTGGCATCCTCAGTCACCTCGCAGGTTTGCCAGAGTGGGACACAGCACAGGGAAGACCGAAGAAGAATCGCATTCGAACGGTGGTGCAGAATACTGAAACCATCACGGCCTGCCGGAGCAACCGCAAGTCTGTCTTGGAAGAAGTACAGTTACAATGCTCCTTAGAGGCAGGGATGGCGAACGTGGGTTGGACGCATTGTCAGGAGAGACCAGGCCCTGGCGAAGGACATCGTGGTTGGTAAGGCAGAGGGGCAGCGGAAGCGAGGAAGGCCCTTGAGGAGATGGGTGGACGTGGTGACGGCGTTGGTGCAAGGGCAGTTGTGAGGATGGCGCAGGACCAGGCAGTGTTTTGCTTTGTTGTGCACACGGTCGCTGCGAGTTGGAACCTACGCAACAACAGCAGCAGTAACAACAACAGCAGCAGCAGCACCCCTGTGGTAGTTACATCATCTGGTGTCAGTTTGGGCCTTGAGAGGATTCAGAGTGAAGGGGTGGAGTCTAGTTTGTCAATCGGGTCACAACCAGTGAGGCCTCTGTGTGGGCATGGCTTTCCCCGAGGATGCTGGGAACTCCTGGATTTTCCTCCTTGGAGGTGGAAGAGACCTCTCTCTCTCTCTCTCTGCTCACTCCCTTGGAGGCTCTACTGATAAGACACATGGCGCTACGCTGATAGATCCTGTGTCCTGGGAGCTGGAGAAGCCACATGGACCTACCCTGATATAACCAGACCTCTGGATCCGGAGAAGCCATGTAGAGACCCCAGCCGGCGCTGAGATGCTTCCACCACTACTGGATCCACAAGACTTCCCACCCACTGGCCTGTGATCCTCCTGCATTCGGCGTCATTGCATGTGTTTCGTGAGCCTGAAGAGGACTTTATAGATTGGTATCAGAGCTATGGGCTAATATTAGACTTATGCACTGGGCTGGGACGTTTTCTCAATGTTCAATTGCTCTTGTATCATATACCTCTTTCTTATATACCTATGAGTATCTATGAATTTGTTTCTCTAGTCTACCCAGACTAACACAACCCCTTGGGAAATACTTGTGCCAAGACCGTTGAAGTTGAATCCAGTTAGCAGGCCGTGGCGTCTAGTTAGAAATACAGGGACAGAAGCACACGGTCACGCCACCAGGGAGCAGCAGCCCTCCACATTCAGAAGGTGAGATCTCCCACAGCAGGGAGGCGAGTAAAGGGTGGCCCTCTGCCTGTTTGTGTAAATAAAGTTTTATTGCAACACAGCCAGTTCAGACAAAGCTTGAAATATTGACTCTCTGGCCCTTTTGGTGAAGAGGTTGGGGTCCCTTTGCCCTGCAAGACAAGAAAATAAACAAAACAGGAAAGGGACACACCAGCCCAAGGCAGCACCATGTGGTCTTTGTTTAGAACCTGCGTCCCGGCAGCCACCACTGTCACTCCAGAGCTCATCAGCGCGACAGAAACGGGGAGGAGACAGGAGCGAGCAGTAGGAAACGCACAGCCGTTATGTTTGTGGTTTTGTTTTAAAGTCCTAGCCGGGCACTCAGACAGACTTAAGGTAAAATTACATGTCTGAGATTTTCTTTTAATGTATTGAGGGGGGTGGGTGGGATGGGGGGAGGGAGCCGGGGGGAGGGGTGTGTTTCTAAGAGATTCTGCAATGACCGAGCTATATAACTCTGAGGAATGGTTCTTCAAGGGCTTCTCAGCTTCAAATCCTATCGGATAGTCCTCAGGAAATTAGAGGTGCAAAATGAAAGGGGCTACGAGGACATTCCTGACAGCATTTCTTTAGATTAGCAAAAAATCAAAACCTAAAATGAAAACTAAAACTTTAGAAACGATCCCAATTGGCAGCATGAGAGCTGGCGACTCGGCGTGGCCGTGTTGACACACAAACACCGACTGACTGGGGCAGAAGCCCCCTGCGAATTCTTATGGCGCGAGAAGCAGATTGGAGAACGAGTGTGTGTCTCCTTTGTCAAATGGCACTGACATCGCAGGAGTGAGCTGAACACCCCGCCCCCCCTCACTTCCACGGGGTCTATGCTGGTTCGGAGCGAGCCTGCAGGGCAGGGCGGAACTGGCCCTGTGGGTGTCTCAGACAGTGACTCTCGATGAGATGAGTGTAGGAAGCCTCATCTTTCTCCCAAGAAGCCGCCAGTGGTTTCAGACCCACTGAGTCACCAGCACAACTTTCCCAGTCACTTGGGGAGCGTTTAAAAAAGACAGGTGCTTGGGCCCCGCCTCAGAGACCAGCTGAAGCCGGTAGAAACAGCAGGGAGACCCAGGCCCCTGGCCCAAGTCCGAGGAGGAGGTGGGACAGGGGGGTGGCCTTGGCCAGAGGCCCGATAAGGTTGAGGGTGACCAGAAACCAAGTCTTGGAAAGTTCACAGTATAGAACTGCTCACTGTTTTAGGAGAGGGGGGAGGCCCATCTTAAGGGGAGCCCCTTCCCGCAGGAAATCAGAAGAGATATTGCCCCTCTTTTGCTCACAAGGCAAAAGAGCCCAGGAGGCACACTGGCTGCTAACTTGCAAGGTCCAAGGCTCAAACCCACCAGCTGCTCTGAGGGAGATGGATGAGGCAGGGTGCTTCCGTAAAGATGGGCAGTCTTGGGACCCCTGTGGAGCGGTTCTCCGCTGGCCTAGCGTCTCTGTGAGCAGGAATCGCACCACAGCCTGTGGATTTGTTCATTCCCATTGCAGGTCTGCAGGCTTCCCCTCTGGAGCCTTCATGACCCAAAGCAAAAAGCCACGGCCTTGGAGTAAGTTCTGACTCAGAGTAGAAGTGACCCGCAGGCTTCGCGGGAGCCTCATCTTTCTCCCTCAGCCTGGCTGGTGGGCCCGAACCGCCAACCTTTTGGTTAGCGGCCCGCAGCGCTACAAGGCTCCTTCCTTGTATTACAACCCGCAAACCCAAACCCACTTCCACCGCCTCGTTCCCTCCGTCCCCTGGTTTATCTAGAATCATTTCAAGAATGAATAAAATGTATGAACCTCTCCCAAGTGTGAATGGATAATGTTTTCTAAATAAGATGCCATCTTTGTTTTTTAAAAAATCACTGAATAGATGTAACTCTTTGGTCACTTGGGACGTTTTCAATGGATGAATGAAAGTATTGCTGGGGCACACACGGGGATCCGTGTAGGACCCGCAGCCGCCTTGTTTTGTGTGTATGTGTGTGTGTGTGTGTGAAGTTCTCTCTGAGGAACTTTGACTGTTGGTCACTTAGGATGATTAAGGGGATCGAAGAATGGATGTGTTTGAATGACGGGGCTGCTGGTGAGAGATACCGAGAGTATCGTGGATCGCCCAAACCCCACACAAATCTGCCTTTGACAAAAGTACAGCCAGAAAGCTCCGAGAGGCCAGATGGGGAGCCTCTGTCTCACTTGGGACCTGTCAGGAGAGACCAGGCCCTGGACAAGGACGTCCTGCTTGCTAAAGGCAGGGGCGGCGACAGAGAGGAAGCCCCGTGGTGAGATGGACGGGCACAGCGGCAGCCACCACCGGCTGAGACCTGAGCCCAATGGAGAGGGTGGTCTCCCCCTCTCGCACACAGGGTCTCAGAGTGGGGACAGCACGCCATGACAGCAAGCTAACTTCCGATGTCTTTGCTCAAAGCCTCTGTGGATCGCGGGTTGCCAGTCTTACTCGTCCATGTTGGTTCTAACGAGCTGGGGTGGCTCAAACAGGGACGTCAGTTCTAACGAGCTGGGGTGGCTCAAACAGGGACCTGTGAGGCATCCCCGGTGCTCCGTGCTCCCTCCCGATCGGGATGGGGAGGGAGTCTAGTGCCTGCACCCCCACCCCACTTGGCTCCTGACAGCCTGTTGACATGAACTGTGCTCAGACCGGTGGCCAGGATGCCAGACTCAGACGGTGCTCCATAGGGTTTTGGGTTTTTAAAGAGGTGTCCAGGTCTTCCTTCTGAGTCTCGACCAACCTGCTGGTTCAAAGCCCAGGGGCGTCCCTCCAGGGGTCTCAGGTGGTGCAGGACTATGGACTGTCATATGCCCAGTGACCACCAGATGGCTCCCCAGCACACACTTGCCTCCTCGACAGATGCAGGGAGGGCCCTTTCTCCAAGACCCCAGCCCAGGGATCCTCAAACTTTTAAAACAAGGGGCCAGTTCACTGTCCCTCAGACCCATTGGAGGGCCGGACTGTAGTTAAAAAACAAAACAAAACCAACTATGAACAAATTCCTATGCACACTGCACATATCTTATTTTGAAGTAAAAAAATCAAACGGGGCAAAAACACCTCGGCGGGCCGCATGTGGCCCACGGGCTGGCCGTAGTTTGAGGATGCCTGCCCCAGCCCTTCCAGCCTCCCGCACAGTTACTTTAGCAGGACTGCAAGCCAAGCCCACTGTCATTGTGTTGATGCCGACTCACAGTGATCCTATAGGACAGAGCGGACCTAGTGCTTGTGGGTTTCTGAGACCATAACTCTGCTGCAGAGCAGCTAGTGGTTTTGAACTGCTGACCTCATGGTTATTAGCCCAGTGTGTAACCCACTATGCTACCCGTGAAACAGAGAGGCAACCCAGAGGGGATGTTTGCTTTTAGGGGAGCAGTTGGTCCTTGTACTCAGCGAAGACACAGCAGGGGTTGCTGGCTTCCCCTTCTAGCCCCATGCAAGGGTGGTCACTGCAGGTCCCCAGCACAGTCCAGGAGGAGGTGACCTGGGTCACGCTTGTCCTTGAGGTCACCCCAGGGGTCCTGTTCTGGCCCTCAGCCCTGGTACTGCTTGGTAGTCTCTTTCCCATGACCCCTGATGGGCTTGGGGAGCTAGCAGGGGTGTCCGCAACCTCATGCATCTTCCTCCCCCCCCCCGCCGCCCCCCGTTATCCCTCCTCCTTCCCTTTCTCCCCCCAACCCTGGCGAGGCCTCAACTCAACCTCAGGTGGCTCGGGTCCCAGGTAGTTAGTTACCTAGCAACTGCCAGGTTGCATAGCCAACATTCTCTGTGGCCAACAGCAAGGCAGGGATCAGAGCCCACCCAGAGGTGCCTCTCAAGAAAGACCTGGCGATCTACTTCCAACAGGTCAGCCCCCCGAAGCCCCCCAAGGTGCAGCACTCATGCGACATACACAGGAGCACCCTCAGCCTCGGCCCTGCACGCCGCTCTGTGGAGGGCCCCCAGGGTGTGATTTGGCCCTACAGGCAGCATCCACGGTTTATGAAATGCCCAGGGCTGGCCACAAGCTGTCCCTTCCTCGCCCCAGGCAGGGTGAGTACCTGACGGTCACTCTGGGGTCATGGCTCACGCCGCACACCATGGAGGCCTGGGTGCCCTTGATGACGCTCTGGTCCTGGGGGGGCTTGGTGATGCGGGTCCGGGCTGGAAGAGAGCAGGAGGCCTCATGGTTAGAGTGGATGGGGATGGACAGCGGGCTGTGCAGCCTGGCTTGCGGTGAGGGATGGCAGCCCTGAACCCACACGGGCAGGTCTCCAACCTCGGGGGCTCCCCTAGGCCAGTCACTCAGAGCAGAGTGTGCTCTGGTGATTTTGGGCCTGGGAGCCATGTCCTATGGACATCTCCCTGGCTTTCACTCCAGAATGAAAAGACAGAATATGGACACGTGGGGGTGGTGGTGGTGGTGGCTATGGCTACGGCAGGCACATCAGGGTGCAGCCAAGGGCTAGACGCCCCCCACCCCCATCCCAGGTATCCCACCACTCACTGCTCAGGCTCAACAGGTGGTCCCCAGGTATGGGGACCTTGGTCCTAAGAGTCCTGTCCCAGAGTGGAACGGGTTGCAGGTATTTGCAGCCCACCTGGGCCCCCCCACCCCCCATGTCCCTGAGTGGCCTGTTCCAGTCAAGGCGCTTCCTGGCACCTGGCCCCGCCCACCTGATGATGTAGTGTCTGTGGCTGATCCCACGTCTGGGCCACAGAGCCTAAAATATGCACTCTCGGGGGCTTACAGGAAGCACTTGCCCACTCTTGCCTTCCAGTGGGAGGACGGCGCCCACAGCAGGGTCCCGGTCGCCTGACGCAGCCTAAAGGACCCCAGCTGCGGCCTGGCCTCTGTGGCCCACCCTACCCGGATGATCCTGGCTAGACAGACGCCCAGATGTGTCCCCAGCCCTGCAGTGCACAGTGATGACAGGATCACGCCGGACACACTCACCCCAAACAACCAGGTCCGCCGAGGCCTCGTCCACCCCCCGGGAGTTGGTGGCCAAGCAGGTGTAGGTGCCGGCGTCCAGGATGTGTGTGGGGCTGACCAGCAGGCTGCCCGACTCCAGGAGCGTGAATCGGGGCAGCTGGATGGAGCCGCTGGCTAAGATGCGTTCCCCTGGGGCGACATGGGGGGTGTGTGTGTGCTCAGGCTGCAGGAACCCGGAGCTGCCTCGGGGACCCCCAACACCCTTTCAGGAACACTCCTGACACTCTGCCCTGGAGCCCCTGAATACCGGAGACCCCCAACATCCTACCCATGTAGATTCCTTGGACCTCACCCTGATATCCTGTCCTGGAGTCCCCCCAGGCCCCCCCAGAGAGACTGCTGTTACCCCACCCAGAGGACCCTGGAACATCCAACTCAGACAGTCCCTTGACATAACCTAGGCAAATCCATGATACCTCACCCCAGCAGGCCCCCAACATCCAGCCAGATAGCCCCAGACACAACACTGAGCAGCCCCCCCGCCCCCAACTCTTCTATATGTCCAGAGCACACCTCCCACCTGGCCCCTGGCTCTCTTGGAAGCTGGCCTCAGACCAGCTCCTGCTGAAACGCTGGAAGTTTCACTGTGACAGGTGGGCGCAGGCTGAGGCCCAGAGAGCCCTCTGCCTTGGCGACCAGCACAAGGTCACATGGTCACAGAGGGGGCCCAGATCCCCAGATGTCCCCAGCCCCAGCTGCTGTCTGCCCTTCCCGTCTCCTGAGCCGGAGCAGCAGCTGGCACCGGCGGGGGAGGAGCAGACAGTGTGACAGGGTGGTGATGAGCACCTGCCGCAGGAGCCTCTGCAGGGGCACCTTCAGCAAGAGGAGGGGGGCCCGGGTAGGGACATAGCAGCTCTGGGCAGGACGGGACCCCCCTATGCAGTGGGCCAGGGAGGAGGGGCCCTGAGTAAGCTGAGGTGAGCCCAGCAAGCCCTAGGCACTGCTGGCCCGAGGGGGGAGGGCTCCGCGGGGCGTGCCCAGGAGGACCTGGGCTCCCACTTGGGCGTGAGCACCCCACCACTGGATTCCTTACTGAGCACTTAGTAAGTGCTCGGCCAGGCCTCAGGCCAGTGAACATGCGGGGGTGGGGGTGGGGTGGTACTATGATGATAATATCAGTGCACAAGGAAATGGACGGAGGGGTGGGGCAGGAGGCCCAGGGGCAGGGGGAGGTCTGTGGTGAAGGGGCATCCCATGGGAGACTTGGAGATGGAGGGAGTGACTGTGTGGACATGCGTGTCCATATGGGCACACATGGGTGTGCGTGTGTCTACATGAGGAACTGTGAGCATCAGTGTGCAGAGGTGGAGTAGGGGGTGTGTGGGACCCAGCCTACAGGGAAGGGGGACCTGAGCTGGAGGGGCTACCACCACGCAGGACTAGTGGACATCAGGAGCCACCGCCTCCCCACACAGGGCGCTCTCCTCTCGCCATCCTGGCTGTCCCTGTCCCCACTGTACAGAGAGGGAAGCTGGCCATACCGGCATAGATGAGCATGGAGCAGTCCAGGGCCTGGTACCCAGTTCAGAGTGCCCCAGAATTCAGCTCTGGGGACCACCCTAGACTACTACCCAGGCCCCCTGGCCCCCAAAGCCAGGAGCGTCCCACTTACCTTTCTGCCACGTGATGGCCGGCCGGGGTGCCCCTGAGGTCTCACAGGCCAGGACCACCGACATGCCGTCAATCACTGTGCTGTCCAGGGGGCCCCTGGTGATGTTGGGGGCGATGCCTGGAAGCAGAGATAGGGAGGATGCTGAGCCGCACCCTGGGAGGGAACCCCACTGTCATCAGCCCTCCCCTGCCACTCAGCTGGGCACAGGTGCTCTGAGGGGCTCTCAGCCCAGAGATTCCCCAAGAAGGACACCGAGACCCAGGTTGCACCCAGTCTTAGTCCTTAGAAGCCAGGTTCCCCCCCTCCCCCTCCTCAGGTGGATCACAGCCCCCAAGTCATCGGGATTCACCCTCCCCCAACAAGGAGGCTTCTGTGCTTTGGCTTCTTAAAGGAAAAGCGGCTGTGGCTACCGGGAGACCCCCACCCGAAGAGCCCCCTCTCCCCCGGCTGGTGGGGTTATGCTCCTTCACACGGGAACCCCCCCTTGTCTGTGTTCCTGGGGCGGACACCTGGTCTGATGTGAGCCGGAGCGGGGCTGAGAGCGGAGTTAAGGTCACCTCCATCAACAGGGACCGGTGACAAGCCCCTGGGACTCACGGCCAGCCCTTCACACCCGTGGCTGTGGACAACGTGGCCACCAGCACCCCCTCACCCAGGTCCGTGGCTCTGCCACTTGGACCAAAAGACACTGCCATTGAGCCAGAGCCGACTCAGAATGACCCTGTAGAACCGGGCAGACCCGCCCCTGTGGGTTCTGAGATGGTCACTCTTGACGGGAGTAGAGAGCCCCGTCTTTCTCCCATGGAGCAGGCTGGTGGTTTTGAGCTGCTGACCTTGTGACTAGCAGCCCAGTGTGTGACCACTACACTACCTGTCCCAGGCTCTTCTTTCATGGTGACAGCAGCTCTGGGAAGCCCACCAGGCCGGGCAGCTATGACTTGCCCTGAAATAGACTCCAAGGGGTGGGGCGAGGAAAGCCCCCCCACCTTGCAGGACCTGGCTCGTGACTCTGGGCACACGAGTGAGTTTGCTCCGGCTGGCGTGGGGTCATGGGTTGGTGCCCCACCCCCCAAGGCTGCTGGACCCAGCAGGTCCTGGGGTCCCATCTCTGCCAAGGCCCAGGAAGGAAGGAAGCTGTATCCCAGGTGGGTAGGGCTCCCGGCAGGGCAGGGAGGTGGACTTACTGGTGACAGCCAGGTAGGTGGAGGTTTGCACCTCGCCAGCCCCGTTGCGGGCGAAACACTGGAACATGCCCGTGTCGTCCGGCACCAGCCCGCTGATCTGCAGGCCGCCGTCCGCTCGCAGCCGGAAGCGGGATAGCCTCTCCACGTCCACGACGGCCGCGTCCTTGTACCAGGTGATGGAGGGTGGCGGCACCCCTGCAGGGAACACAGGTGAGACCGTGAGCCAGGGCGCACAGGTGGGCTGCCTGCTGCTGCCCCTCTCTGCCTCTGAAGGTGCCCTATCTACACGGGGCTCCTTTGGGAAGCTCCTCTGAGAAGCTGGGACCCACCAGTGTTGGGGGACGAGGAGAATGTCCGCAGGGCGGCTCGGTTCACACTCTGTGGGCTGGAGAAGGAGGGTCTAGACGCTGACCTCTGGACCCAGCATGTGTTCCACGTTTTGTTTGTGACCGTGTTGCAAATACAGGCGCCCGAACATTTGCCGATTCAACTACGGCTCCATGCGAAGCCCAGTGACACGGACTACATTGTCCACACTGGCTCACCAAGCTCCTGCCTCCCTGGCGGAAGTACCCATCGCTGTGGACATCCACGCACTGCCCGCTAAGCCCCCTGGTCACCACGAACAAGTCACCTCTGGCGTCTCACAATCAGTGAGGTCAAGAGATCTCTGACCTGTGGGGACTGACTTGTTCCCGCATGTAGGATGTGTGGTCAGGTGGGACAGTCCCTGGAGAAGGGCGGCGTGCTCGGTAACATGGGAGGGCAGCCACAAGGGGCAAGACTGCCAAGGAGATGGACTGACAGCGGCTGCAACAGGATCAACCGCGGTGAGGAGGGGACAGGGTGGGGCGGAGCTTTGTCCTGCCGAACCGACCCCGCAGTTGAACCTGAGTGAACCTGAGCCCGCAGTTCACTCTGCGGGACATGGCCCAGGCCCACTCAGGTCTGGGGGGCACCAGGCCCTGTGCTGCTCTGGATGGCTGGGGAGGTATCCGGGTGGGGATGGGCCGCGTTCCGTTTACCCACGGACCTGCTGTTCGGCACTGTGGTGGTCTCCACTTCCAGACCACGGTGAAAAGCACTGTGGTGCTAAGTTTTAAAAAAGCAGTCTCTTGACCGGACTGAACTATTGAATTGTGTGATACGTAGAGTCAGTCCCAACAAAACTGGTATTTTATTTTATTTTTAAAGGCAGTGTTTGGCAGAATCTTGCATGGGCCCTGGGGCCCCCAAGTTGGGAATGGTTCCTCTACCCACTTGACCCCTGACCCCTGATGTCTGGCAGCACCCTTGGTTGTGCTGCCTTGCCAGCACCAGCCCGCCCCTGACACACTCTTCCCTGGGCACCCTGGCCAGTCCCCAAGTGCTTCCAGGTGTTTGCTTACGAGTGCCTTCCCTGAACCCTGTTCTAATAGTGCCCCGCCACACAGTGGCCCCCAAGCCTATCTCCTCCCTGACCCTCAGCGCTTCCAGCCCGGACATCACTGCAGTCGGCATCTCCGAGGTCAGAACCTGCCCTGTGAGGGACTGCGGGTTCCTAAGGGCAGTGCGGGTTTTTTTTCCCTACTGGATCATACACCGAGGGGCACCAGATAAGCAAACCATCACTCCCCACTGTTGAGCCGATGCCGACGCGCGGAGACCCTACAGAACAGGGTAGAACTGCCCCTGTGGGTTTCCGAGACTGGAGCTCTTTAGGGGAGTGGAAAAGCCTCGTCTTTCTTCTGTGGAGCGGCTGGCGGTTTCAAACAGCTGACCTTCTAAACCACCAGCAGCTCCGTGGGAGAAAGACTGGGCCTTCTGCTCCCTTCAACAGTGAGGGTCTCAGAAACCCACGGGGGTGGCTGTGCATCAGCGTGGACTCGGTGGCAGGGAGTTTTGGTTTTGGAGTGTCCCTGCTGGCCCCCAGCCCCCAATACAACTCAGACATGGGGGAGGGGCTCAGACTATCTTTGCGGCATGAATGAATGAATGAATGAATGAAGAGGCCTTTGCCTCCTTCCCTGGCAGAGTCTCAGGAAGGCCGTCCACTCGATGGCCATGGGTTTGGTTGTAGGGGCCCCTTCTCTGCAGATCCTGTCTCCTCTCAGCGCTCAGTGGTGCTCCCTATCCAGTCGATCATGGATTGGTCCCATTCAGGCCCTTCCTTCTCCCCTCTACGCTGTCTGCGCGGCCCCCCCCCCCATGAAGGCCCTTCTCCCCTCTCTACCACCCTCGTCACCTTAGTCTGGAAGGTGTCTCTTAGCCTGGCTACCTAGGAACTGTGAGAGATAGGAGAAGCTGATTCTGCAGGGGGTCCGCCAAGGGTGGGTGGGCGGGGAATGCGGAAAGGAGAGAGAGCACAGAGCCCCTGCCCCCCCCAAAGGGCCTCTGGGTCACTAGGTGAGATGCCCTCAACACTGTCCACACCTCTGGAATCAGGGATGGTGTGTGGGTCTGCTGTCACAGGCCTGACGTGACGGCTGACTGGGCCCTGTGTGGCGTGGGATGGGAGGAGGGCCTGCAGGTGGAGGCGTTACCTTTGGCCCGGCAGGGAATGTCCACCACTTTCTCCATCTCGGCCATGACGTGTCGTTCAGGCTCCCTGACAAACTGAGGCGGCTCTGCAGGAGGGAGGTGGGTCTTAGCCATGCACCCGGAGACCCAGCCACCGTGGATGGGGGCCCTGTCCTCAGGGGAGTCCCAGCCACCCTGCCCTCGTGCTGAGCTCACCTAACACAGACAGGTAGGCCCCCCGGACCACGGCGGGGACGCTACTGCTGCGCAGGATGGCCTGGCACTCGTAGTAGCCGGCATCGCCGCCCGAGGGGTTGGGGATGGTGAGCCGGCGGCTGTAGTCGCTGATGCCGGATGACAGGACTGCTCCATCTTTCTTCCAAACGATGTGTAACTTGATCAGGGGCCTGCAGGGGCGAGGGTCCTGAGGAGGCAGCTTCCAGGCCTCTTGGTGCCCTGGCTGACCTCCCACCCCCCCACCACCGGTGAGCCCGCAGGCCAGGGCAGCACCCGAGTCAGGAGCTCTGGCAAGAGGGGCCCCTCTACCCACCTGGCGTTGGCCACGCACTCCAGGGTCACCTCCGAGGTCCCGGCCACCACGCTGGTGTTCTTGGGAGGGATGATGATCGTGGGAGCGATGGGGTCTGCAGGGCCCCCGACATCTGGGGAGAGGGCAGGTGTCAGTGGGAACATAGCTCTGAAACCCCGCTTCTCCCTGGCCCATTAGAGGCGATGTCCCTGGAGACCTGTGTCCCCAGGGACCAGAGCAGCCACAGAGCCGGCGAGCAGTCCCTGGAGAAGGACATCATGTTTGGTAAAGCAGAAGGGCAGCGAGGAAGAGGAAAGGCCTCGACAAGATGGACGGACATACTGGCTGCAACCATGGGCTCAGGCACAGGGGCAGTTCATTGTGAGGATGGTGTTGGACCGGGCAGCGTTGCTGTCCGTTGTGCATAGGATCCCTGTGATTGGAGCCAACTCAATGGCCCTTTACAAAAGCAGCCGTAGAGCCTGGGCCCTCAGCTGCTGACCTGAGACCCTCTCCTCTCGGCTCTGCCGATGCAGCATTGGATGGATGACCAGGGACAGGTCGCTGGGGATGCTGCTGACCCCCAAGCCCTTGCCCTGCTCCTCAGGAAATGAAATCAAGCACACACTCCCTTGCAGCCCCGCTCTGTTTTATTGCCTTCAAATCCGTCACCCTGCCTGGATTTATCCCGCTTACGTTGGCACTGCTGGCCTCTTCTGTCACCATGCAAGCTCCGGGGATGGATAAAACCAGAGACTACCCCGGACACCAGCCGGCCAACTCTCTCCCCCGGAACAGGGCAGATCTGTGGTCTTTACAGAAGAGGGTAGGCAGGCCTTTCTTCCACAGAGGCTGGGGGTGGGACCAGACCTCTAACCTCTACGTGAGCAGTGAAGGGCCAAGCGTGGGTACATCCAAACCCAGTCCTGCCGAGTGGATCCCGACTCTCAGCGACCTCACAGAACTGAGCAGAGTGCCCCTCTAGGGTTTCCCAGGCTGTCAATCTTCATAGGAGTGGCTGGTGGGCTTGAACACCTGATCTTTCCAGTTAGCAGCTGAGCACGTGATCACTGGTCTCCCTAGGGCTCCTTCGTGCCGCCCCCCCCTCCCCCCCAGCACCCGGGACAGGTCAGACCACTCTCCGGTTTCCGAGGCTGTGCGTTATTACGGTGCAAACTGCCATACCTTCCTCCTGTGGAGCAACTGGTGGCCTCAAACCTCCAACCTTCCAGTTAGCATTCTGATGCAAAACCCACTGTGCCCTTGTCACTAGGGATCCCTCTGGGTCCCCTGTACTCCATACTCGCTGCCGTCCAGCAACTCTGACTCACCTCACGCACTCCCCTTGAGTCGTGGTGCCCACTCCTTAGGACAGGGTAGAACTGCCCCTGAGGGCTTCTAAGGCAAACTCTCTGCGGGAGTAGAAAGCCTCGTCTTTCTCCCATAGAGCAACGGCTGGTTTGAACTGCTGACCTTGTGGTTAGCAGCACAACAGGTACCTGCTATGCCACCAAGGATCCTCCAGGATTCCCGAGAGACCCCCCCAGAGGAGCCCTGGTGGTGTAGTGGTTACCCGTTGGGCTGCTAACTACAAGGTCAGCAGTTTGAGACCACCAGCTGCTCTGAGGGAGAATAAAGAGTCCCGGTCTCGGGAAGTCACGGGGGGGTGGGGGGGGGCGGTACTATCCTGTCCTACAGGGTCACTATGGGTCACCATCAACTGGATGGCAGAGTTGAGAGGCTTTCCCAAATCGGCGGTCATCTGGGAATGGGCTCTGATCTGATCTGGAAGGAGGGGTCTGCAGACGGCCTCCAGGTCCTCCTGGAGCAGGCTGGGTCTTAAACCCAGTAGGACTGACGTCCGTCCGTGAAGAGTTCAAACCCAGGCATTGACACAGGGGAGGGGCCAGGTGAAGGCAGAGGCAGAGGTGGGCGGTTGCAGCCCCAAGGCAAGGAGGCGCCTCCCCCAGAGCCTTCAGAGGGCATGCGGCCCTGCCCACACCTGGACTCCTCCTCTGCAGAACCATCCTGGAAGCCACCCTGTCTGTGGCCGCAGGAAGGCCTCCGTGGGTGGTGGGCACCTCCCTCCTTGTGCACAGTTCGTCTCCAGCACCAGGAACAGCTCCGACAAGCGCAGGGGCTCAGATCGGTTTGCTAAGTGAACGGGGGGGGGGGGGCAGCCTGGAGCCCTCCCTGTGCTGCCCCCAGTGGCGCGGAGGGGAATGACGAGCGGCCGGGGCGCACCTGCCAGGTGTCCTGGGGATGCTTGGGGTTCTTGGTTTATTTCCACGCGCCGGGGTGGGGGTTCTCTGCATCGCCCGGCCAAGTCCGCCCGTGCCATTTCCAACAGTGCGTGTGCACTTAGTGTCCCTGCGTCGCATCGGGGCTCATGCTCATATTTCAAAACTTTTTTTTTTTGGAAAGAGGACGCGGTTCCGTTTCATGCAGGTGGCGAGTAGTAAATGAATGCACAATCTCTATTTACAAAGCCGGGACCCTTTCCTTTTGTGGACGGGACCCTTCCCGGATTGAGTATGAGGAGTGAGGGTCATGGGTGACAAGGTGGTCGGTAGCCACTGTGGGGCACGGTAGGTAGTGGCCTGTGGGGGAAGTGATGGTCCCAGAGGTTAACGCTTTGTGTAGGTTCACCAGGCCGTCCATCGGAGCCCAGCGATCGCCTCTGCTTCCCTGGTCCGCCGCCCACCTTCCCGCTTGGGCCACTCATTCATGCTCTTGGGCGAGCGGAGCCTCCTTTTCCATTTTCCTGTTCTTTTCCTTCGTGCGTGGCTTCCCCGCAGGAGCTGGGGACTGGCCTGGCTGCTTCCATTTCCTGCATCGTCTGGGGTCTTCCGCTTCCCCCTCCTGAGCCAGGGACCTCTAAATGGAGTCTGGAGAAGGGGGTGCGGGGGGTGGGTGGGTGGGTGGGTTTGTGGCTTTGCTGGTCCTGGCTCCTCAGTCAGCCAATCCCAGAGATGCTCAAGCGTGGGGAAGGTTTGGGATTCTTCCTCCTCGTTTGCAGGGGGTGAGATATAGGGTTCCCCACCCCCCACCATTTTCACCTGAGGACAGGACCTCCCTCGGGGCCTCACACCAGGGCCCTAGCCCCCAGGGTCCCAGTGTCCCAAGGGGGAAAGGCATTGGCTCGGCTTTCAGGTGTGTGGTGGTGAGTGAGGACACGCTTCCTTCTGGAGCTTTCTCTGCAGATTTCGGCTCTGATTTCGACTCTGCAGCTGCCACCTGCTCGGACCCCCGGCCTCCGTGTCAAACTTGCATCACGCTCAGGCACACGTGTAAGAGCGCATGGCTTACAATCAGGCAAGGTGTGCGCCACGGCTGTATCCGCCCACCACGCTGATTCAGTCTGCCTGCTGAGCAGATCGTCCGAGAAGCTGGATTACGTGGAGAAGAACAAGGTGCCAGGGTCAGAGGAGGGCACCTCGCAGGTGGCTCCACCTTGCTTGCTGAAAGCGAGGAGGACTTGGAACACTTGCCGATGAAGAAAGATCACGAGGGCGGCCTTCGGGGTGGATTCCGACTCAATGCGAAGGGACCCAAACCCTCACACCTGGACCCGCCAGGTAATATTAAAAATCGGAGGGCACAAAAAGAAGCGGTCAAGGATTTCATCTGGCTTGGCTCTACCATCAATGCTCATGGAAGCTGCAGTCAAGAAAGGACGTACCCATTTCCAGTGGGTCAATGCGTGGCACAAGACCTCTTAAAAGTGCTGACGAACAAAGAGGTCACTTTGAGGACTAAGGTGCACCCAACCCAAACCATGGCATCTATTTGTCACTGGTTGGGAGTCCATACACATCACACCTCACCCCCTAGTTCACTCACGTCTGGGAGCGTTGTGCGCATGTGAAAGCTGTTGGGCTCAGACTAAGGAAGACCCAAGAGGGATCTGTGCATTTGCACTGTCATGCTCGTGATAATGCTGGAAGGACCCTGGGCGGCCCAGAGGCAAGCACGTCCGTCTTGGAAAACGTACAGCCGGAATGCTCCTTACAAGGGAGGATGGCGAGGCTTTGTCTCACGTACTGTGGACGTGTGGCCAGGAGAGACCTGTCCCTGGAGAAGGACATCCTGCTTGGTCACGTAGAGGGGCAGCAGGGGGAAAAAAGGAAGATGCTCAAGGAGGCCGATGGACACAGTGGCTGCAACCATGAGCGCGGACATTGGGACAAGCGTGAGGCTGGCCCAGGACCTGGCAGTGTTTTGTTCTGTGAGTTAGACCTGGCTGGACGGCACCTGACAACAACACGGCGCCCTTCGCAGGTAATAGTGGAGCGTCAGCATCATTTCCCTCTGCACTGACGAACCAGGGATAAAAAAGGAAAGGAAAAGGTCAGGTGACTGGCTTCATGGCAGTGGTCTGGTTGAGAACCTGTAATATCTTCGAGGCTCGGGTGAAACAAAATCCACCACTAATCCTGGCAGCTCAGGTAGACAATTTTCGAAACTCTGGGCGCTTCCAGACAAGGCCAGGTCTGGCTGCATGTGGGTCAGCATGAGCCTGGGATGGGTAGAGAATCCAAGAGTCTCTGTGCACCTACTCTGTGGCTCCTGGAAATAAAACCCCAGTACTTGTCTTCTCACAACAAATCTATCCACTTGGTCCCTTTCCAGAAGGTTCTGCACTCTGATTGATGCGGCTCTGGGTGGCAGCAACAGGGCAACCTTTATAGGGCCGGGAAGGGCATGCGGAGCCCAGGACCTTGGCCCCGAGCCACTTGGGGAGCCAGCCCAGCCAGCCCTCAGATTGGACGCCGGGCCTGGTTGGAGAAGGCCCAGCAGAGAATGAGAATAAAATGAACAGAATGAAGTACAAGGAAGGGGAAAGAAAGGGGGAATATAAAGCAAAATAATTGCACCTATATAAAAGGCTCATGTAGGTCTCGTAAAACGTGATCGGATTGAAAGCTGCTGATATAGCTGAATCCATAAAAGTGTGCTCTAAATTGTTTATTACACACCGGGCTGTGCAGGTACCACGGCCCAGATTAATGGGGCTTGCGGCGGAGATAGACACTTAGAACCCCAGGCGGGGGCTGACTGGGTAAACAGGGCCTGCGGAGGGAGAGCGGGAGGGAAGGTGGGGCCCAGGTGGAGGAGGAGGATCCAACGCCTGGTGTGTGCACAGTGGGGCAGGAGGAAGAGCCATGAGGGATGAGGGGGGAGGAAAGCTTGGGAGACAGGCATGCCGGATGGGTCAGTGGGCATGGAGGCTGGGAAGGGCCGGAGACAGTGCAGGCAGGTGACAGGGTGAGAAGCTGAGATCGTGACCCTGAGCAGGAGGAAGTGGGAGCCGGATTGTGGGTGCCTGCCAGTGGGGCAGCACCCAAAACACGTGGGTTCCCACCGAGACCGAGGGGCTCTGAGCCTCCCAGGTGCATGGAGGCTCCTGGCTGGGGTAGGGAGCCACAAGGTCAAAGGTTTGAGTCTGCCAGGGGTACCTTGGCAACAAGGCGAGGAAACCAGCCAGCCCTGCGGTGGTTCCATGCTGGACTGCTAACCACAAGGTCAGCAGTTCAAAGCCACCAGCCGGTCTGCAGGAGAAAGACGAGGCTGTCTACTCCAGCAAAGAGTGGCAGTCGGGGAAACCCACAGGGGCAGTTCTACCCTGTCTTAGAGGGTGGCTGTGAGTCCAGATGGACTCTGGGGCAGTGAGTCAACCCCATGCCAGTCTGAGAAGCCCACAGGGGCAGTTCTTCATGCAGTGAGTCAGCCTCACGGAGCACAGTTGCACCTGACACACCAGGGGGCGCTGTGAGCAGGTGGCAGGGTTTCAGTGACCCTGGCCTTGCCTGGCTGATGAGTGAGCAGACGGACATCTCTGCCTTGACCTCCTCCTCTGTCAAACAGGGACAAGAAGAGCTCGCTGTCTCTCGCGGTCTTGGAGGCTGCTGCAGAGAGCCAGTGGGGGCCACACGGATGTGGGACGAACGGATGGCGCTGGGACATGAGCCTCTCTCACTTGTACTTGTGCCTCTCGAAGTCTGGGGACCCCACATAAATACCACGTCACGCGGGGCTCCCTGCCAGGCCCTGGGGGCCAGAGGAGACCCCTAGCGAGTGGTGGCCCTCAAGGGGGTCTGTCAAAATCCCACTCCAAGCTCGAGCTGGGAGGAGGGGCCTCCTGACCTGGAGGAGGGTGGGTGGAAAGAAGCACAGGGACCCCCAGCAAGGGACAGAGGCTGGTCCAGCTGTCCAGGGATGGTTTTGAGACCAGCCCCACTGCACGTTGCTGGATGCCGGGCTCTGGGTCCTCCCGTCACCTTATTTGGTCTTGTTAACTCCTGCTTACCACAGGCGTCCACACAGAGGGGGAAACTGAGGCACAGGGTTCATGAGACTTCTCAAGCTCTGTCCAGGCTGTCTGCTCTCCTGTTACCCCCCCGCCCTGCCTTGTCCTGATACACCCCACAGGTCCGGCACAGGCCAAGCATGCCCTTTGGTTTACCGGGATTTGATTCAAATGCATTCAGACATTGACATTCAAACCTGGAGCCTCCGTGCAGTTGCAGGAGTACTTTCAGATGAGCGTGGGGGGGCTATTCACACAGGCAACGAACCCGCTTCTTCCACTCCGGGTCAGGTGCAATCTAAATCCAGATCACGCGGCCAGTGGAAATTCCCCATCTGAAGGCTGACATGCACGCTGGTTTCAAAGGCTCCGCTTGGACACAACCCACCGCTAGGGCCCCACTAGGATTTCCTCTATCGATTCTGGGTTAACACGGTAACATTTTGGGTTAAATAAATTATGACTCAAATGAATTTCACTTATTTCCATTTACTCCTTTACAGCAGTGCGGCTCCTGGAAAATTCACAACGACTTCAGTGGCTTGGGTGGTATTTCTGCTGGTGGCGGAGCCCCGAGCCTTGGGGGCATCTGGGCCACCTTCTCAGATGTTTCTGGAGCTTCGATGGCCCCTGTGGGTCACACCTGGGCTGGGGGATGACATCGGAGGTCCCTGGCCTTGCTCTTTCTGCCCTGGGGGGGCTACTGAGTGGCTGGCACGTCCTTGAAGGAGGAGAGAGGATTGAGGGAGGGGGAGCAGGAAGGGGTGAGGCAAACTAGGGGGAGGAGCTGGAGCCAGAGGTGGGGAAGTGGCAACTGGGCCCCCTAAATTGGCAGGCAGGCACATGGGCAGGCCAGGGGCTATGTCAATGTCAAGAGCAGGGTTTTGAAGCTCAGTCTCTTTGGGGGAGGGCGGGATGGAGGGGGGTAGAGCTTAGCTAAAAATCAGCAGAGCCGGCTCCTACACTTAGAAAACACTGCATGAGGCAGGAGGGACAGCCTGGGGGGTGGAGGGTGCAGGTAGGGGAGAGACCAGGCGAGGGTTCAGGGGGTTGAGCTACAAGAGAGCGTGGCCATCATCAGGGGCCCCTGAGTGGACTCTGACTCGCAGGGACCCAGTGCACGACAGGACAAAGCACCACCTGGTCCTGCGCCGTCCTCCCAGTTGTTGGGTTGAGCTCATTGTGACTGACCATTCGGGGGTCTCCTTCACTGCCGACCTGCTTTCCCAAGCACGGCCCCCTTCCCCAGGGCCTGGTCTCTCCTGACAACGTGTCCAAGGTCCGTGAGGTGGGGTCTCGCCACCTGGCTTCTAAGGAGCGTTTTGCCCAGGCTCCTTCCAAGGCAGATGCGTGTTTTTTGGCAGTCCGGGTACTTTCAGTCTCTTTCATCAGTACCGTCCTTCAGAAGCATTGGTTCTTCTGAGCTCTTCCATGTTCAACCCCCAGCATCCCCATGCAGGTGAGGGGACCGGGGTGGGGTGGGGAGGGGAGAGTGATGGGAGAGAAGGTGGGCTCCACGCCGGCGGGGAAGGTCTTCAACTTCAGATCTGTCCCGGGTAAACTGAGTTGCCTTAGAAGGGGTCTGTCGGGCCTGGGCTGGGTTTCTCTGATGCCCCCTCTTTGCCTTTGGCGGTGGTGGAACTGGCACCGGGTTTGGGCGTGGCATGTCCCCTGCCTGTCTGCCCCCGCGTGTTGCTGTCGGTGGGCATGCATCTGCGCACCCACAGGTGATGGATGAGGCTGGCTTTGGTGCAGGAGCTGTGCAGATGTGAGGGGCGTGCACATCTGGCTAGCCACGCTCGTGACTGCACTGCTGCTGTAGGAGGCTCGCCTGGGCCCTCCTATTCCCATTCCCTGCTCAGGGGTGCTTCCAGGGGTGGGGGTGAGGCACCACACCCATCCCTGAGTCCCGGATGTGAGACTGGGGAGAGCCACACCAGCGAGAACCCACGTCCCCAGCACTGCCGTCCAGTGGGCCAGAAACGTGGTGGAACCAGCTGTGCTGGACTGACACTGTTTTGCCAGAGGAGGGGGCCTTTATTTCTTATCCTCTGCTGCTGGGGGCCCTCCTGGGGAGACCCAGGCCCCTCTCTTTCAGGGGCAGGGCTCTAAGGATGGGCATTTTGGGGAATACTCAGAGTCAGTGAGGAGTCTCTGGGTGACACAAACGGTTAGGTACTCGGCTGCTCACCGAAAGGTCGGTGGCTTGGATCTGCCCCCAAGTGCCGACGGGGACAGGCCTGGCCATCTGCCTCTGAGAGCTCAGCCTGGGAAACCCGGCGGGCACTTCTCCCCGGCATGCACGAACCACACAGACTGGGCGATGACCCGTGTGGGCTTTGCTGTTATGTCGGTCCATGCCAGCTGAGCCGGGCACTTGGTGTCACACTCAGGGGCTTCCGGCCTCCTGAGTGTCTGTCCTGCCACCATCTGAGCCCCTGCCACCGCGCGCGCATGCATAGGCACCCCCCCACCCCCAATCCCAGGTCCCATGGGCCCCTCCCTCGGCCCAGCTGCTTCCTCCTCTCCAGACCTCCTCCTCCTCCTCCTTGGGTGATGCGTCCCAGTCCCCCACCTTTCCATCTTCCCAAGGATCCCCTGGAGTGCCGTTCCAGATTTCAGACCCACTGCTGCTCCCGCCCCTTTACTTACTCTCCACAGCAAGAGTGACCGGCTGGCTGGTCTTGTTGTCCCCGTTCTTGTCATTCACAGCCTGCACGTAGTAGCGGCCCGCATCCGGAGCCACGCTGGACAGGATGACAAGCGTGTTGTCCAGCGTGATGGCTCTGTGAAGAGAGGAGAGGGCCCGGTGACGGGGCCTCAGGGGCTCCGAGGATGAGCCTCCCCCTTCCTCCTGGAGAGGGGCCTGCACCCCCTACCCCCGCCCCAAGCCACCTCCCATTTAAACACATGGCTTGCAGCCCCATCCGTGGTCAGTTTGCAGACCCCTGCCAACAGGCTGCCAGCATTGAGGGTCAGAGCCTCGGACACGGATTCACGTCCAAAGGTCCCCACAAGTGTCTACGTGACAGCCCTCTGACTCCTCCCAGAGTGGGCTCGGGGCCTGTCCTTTCTCCCAGGCCACCCCACCCGACTCCCTACCCCATGTGCGGACCGTGGCGAGGTGCTCATGAAATGATAGCAGGCATGATGGGTAAACACATGAGCGTGCGGAAGAGCAGGATCGCTCGAGAACTGGGGCTTCTGCCCCAATGCCGGATTGGTTCAGGAGGGGGAGGCGGGTCCGCAGTAGAATTCTCGCCCTCCAAGCCAGAGACGCAGGCGTGAGCTGCCTCCCATCTGTCCTGCTGGGGTGCTGGGTGCTGCCGAGGTGCTGGAGTGCTGAACAGGTTTCAGCAGGGCCCCCAGACTGAGGCAGAGTGGGAAGAAAGGCCTGGGGATCTACTTCTGGAATTCCGTCCACGAAGACCCCGAGGCCCCCTCCATCCCTGAGCACGCACAGTGGGGGTGGTGCAGGGCTGGGCAGTGTGTCCTGGTGCACGGCGCCCCCTCAGTCAGCAGCTGGCTTGATGGCAGCTCTCAACATCGGCTTCTGCATCTGTGCAGCCCAATCCCATCTCCCGCAGCCCCTTCCCTGGCCACTGCTGCCATCTCGCCGAGGCCAGCTGACAAGGCTGGGAGCAGCCAGGCAGGTAAGCAGGGGAGTCTGGCTGGCTGCCACTAGCCAGACCCCGATGCTGGCATCCTACCACTTAGCCCTTCCAGAGTCCAAGTCCCTGGGGGGCATGGTGGAGCTCGTCCATGCCAGGAGTGGGTCCCTGTCAGCCATGGTGGCACGGTCTACAAGTGTTGCCCACCGGGCCCCCGCCCATCCCCGCCTCTCGCCGATTCTCCCAAAGACAAACGTATACAGGAGATTGTCAAGTCTCTCTCCCATTTTAATGTGATGCGCCCAAGACAGCTGTTAACCATCCTTAATGTTAGTTTAACAAGGACAAATCCAGTTGAATTCTTTTCAAATTTTCCCATTAGGTGAACGTTCCAGTTGGAAACAGCCTCTCAAATAAACATCCGTTAATGCTTCTGCAGCCGGCGTGCTCCCCCTGTTGCCGCTCCTCCTCACACGCCCAGCCTCTGACCTGCCACGGGCCCTGGGAGGTGCGGAGGCACCCCCACCACCACCTCCCACCCCACTGCACCCAAGCCAGGCCCGGCTGTTACATTTTTAGCTCCCAAGGAACCCTGATGGAATGGTGGTTAAGCACATGGCTGTTATCCGATAGGCTAGCAGTTCAACCCCCGCGTCTGCTCCTTGGGGGGAAAACGAGGCCGTCTACTCCCACCAGTGTTCCAGGCAGCCGCTGCCAACGGATTGGCCTGCAAGATCTTGTCCTTGATGCCAGGGAATGTGAGAGAGCTCAGAGAGGGAAGGAGGCATGGGGCCGGGGGCTCCCCTGCCAGTCTCAGCTCCCGAGTGGCAGAGTACTGCCTCCCATAGCGAAAGCCCAGCTGTCCACACTCCTCCGGCTTCATGGCTCGGCCTGCTAACAGGCTTCCACCCCAGTGCTTCACTCCTCTCTGTCCCGTGTCCCTTACTCGGTGGCAGTCCACGTCCCTGACCCTTGAAGTTGAGTTTTGCCATAAGGCTGGATCTGGCCAAGGGGAGGTTAGCAGAGGCTTGAACAATGTCTCTTCCTGGCTTCTCTCTTTCCTCTGCAGTGACCAGGAGGACAAGACAGGAGGAGCAGAGCGGAGTCAGTCTGGTCGTCCCGGATCAGACAGTAGCCAGCAGACAGACCCCTGACAAGTGAGCTAATCCAGCCAAGACCACACGAGCCGCCTGGCCCAGCTCAGCCAAGAGTATTCACGAACACTTAGAGCACTCTTGGGGACCGGATGTGCTGTTTCACTTTGTGACACAACATTCCCGTGGTTGCCAGCAGCAACCGATTATATATATATATTTACATATTATATGTATTTACATATTATATATATTTATATATACACACATATAGGAGGGCAGGAGTTCTCAACCTTGGATTCATTCAAAGAACATTAAAAAACCCTGGTGTTCAGCTCACCCCATTTCTATGTGTGTGTGTGTGTGTGGTATGTCCCAAGGCAGAGTCTATTTTAAAGGCCCCCTAGAGCATCTCATCAGGTAACTAATATGACAATCCCTCGATCAGGACCGAAAACCAAAGTCACCACACAACAGGCAACCACGAAACCAAATCAGTTGCCGCCAAGTCAGCGGCGACGGCTGACACCCCTGCGGGTGCCCGCGTAGAACCGCCACCCACAGGGTATTCAGCGGCTGTGGTCTGTCGGAAGCAGGCCACCAGGCCTTTCTTCCACGGTGCCCCTGGGTAGACGAGAACCTCCAACCTCGTAGTGAGCAGTTCATCCTGTTAACCATCTACACCACCCAGGGATCCCATCCCAGGATCGGTGTTGCTGTGCTTGTTAGGTGTCGACACCCTACGCACAACCAGAGGAAACCCCACCGGGTCTTGCATTCCCCCTACCAAGTCTTGTTATGTTCAGCCCATCGCTGCCATTCGGGGGTCTTCCTATGTTTCACCGCCACTCTATTTTACCAAGCGTGGAGCCCTTCTCCGGGGACTGGTCTCTCCTGATAACATGTCCAAAGGACGCGCGCCAAAGTCTCACCATCCTCACTCCCGAAGCTCCTCACACTCGGGCTGCACGTCACTCTCCTGGCAGCTCACAGTGCGTTCAATATTCCTGGCCAATGCTTCCTTCAAAGGCATCCATTATTTTTCCGTCTTTATCCATCGTCCTGCCTTTTGAGGCACTTGAAAAGACCACGGTGTGGTCGGGCCCGTCTCAGTCCTCCGAGTGACACCTCTGCTTTCTTAATCCTTTAGAGGGATCTTCTGCAGGAGGTGTGGCCAAAGCAACACTCTGCCATTTGATTTCTCGACTGCTGCTTCCACGGGTGTGGACTACGATCCAAGCTAGGTGAGATCCGCGACAGTGTCAGTCTTCTCTCCATTTAGTACGATGTTGTTCGTTGGTCCCTTTGGGAGGATTAGTGTTGTCTTTGAAGCAGTGCCCAGGTGGTGCAGCAGGTTAAGCACCAGGCTCGTCACCTAAAGTCGGCAGTTCAAATCCACCAGTCCCCCCCATGAGCGAAAAATGAGGCTGTCTGCTCCTGTAAAGCCTTACAGCCTTAGGAACCACAGGGAGTCGTTCTCTGTCCTACAGACTTGCTAAGAGTCAGCAATTGATTTTTGAAACCATTATGATATAATCCATACAGAAGTCATCGAGCTTCACCAGTAGGTGCTTCCAGTCTTCCCCACTGTCTCCAAGTAAGGAGGTGTCATCCATGTACTGCAGGTTGCTGTGTTAGTCTGGTGGACTAGAGAAACAAACTCATAGATACCCATATGTGTATAAGAAAGAGCTTTATATACGAGAGCACTTGAATACTGAGAAAACATCCCAGCCCAGTCCAGATCAAGTCCGTAAGTCCGAAATCAGCCCATCTGTCTGATACCAATCTATAGAGTCCTCTTCAGACTCACGAGACACATGCAATGATGCCAAATGCAGGGAGATCACAGGCCAGGGGGTGGAGTGTCTTGTGGATCCAGTGGCGGTAGAGGCATCTCAGCTCTGGCAGAGGCCTTCACAGGGCTCCTCCAGCTCCAGAGCTCTAGAACAGCTCCATGTGTCTTCCCAGCAAGCATGTCTTGCAGGCTGCGAGTGTGTGTCCTACATCCAGCAAACTCTTTCTCTCTACAGAGCCTCCAAAGGAGGTCATCAAGCTGCCACCTGATTGACAGGCCCAACTCCACTCTTTCATTCTTCAGTCTCAAACTGACAACAGATGATGTAACTACCGCAGGTGCTAAGGGGCCTTCTTCCGATCCTGATGCTGTGTTTGGTGTTCTTCACATCACCCAGCCTTTCGGGTTATTTTCTCTGCACGCAGATGGAGTCGAGATGGTGGAAGACCATAACCCGAGGCACGCCTGCCCAGATGGTAAACCACAGTGTCCCCTCGTTCCGGTCACACAACGGCCTCTTGGTCTATGTACAGGTTCCACGTGAGCACAACACAGGGCTCTGGAGTTTCCATTCTTTTCTCTGCTCTCCATCGCTATGATCCATGCAGCCGAGTGCCTTGGCACAGTCTACAACACCGGTAAGCGTCTTTCTAGCGTTCACGGCTTACCACCAAGATCCGCCTGATGTCCGTACGATCCCTCGTTTCCTATCGCTGCTGAATCTGCCTTGGATTTCTGGCAGCTCCCTGTCCATGGGCTGCTGTCACCTTCAACAGCTTTTGTTTGTGTGCAATACTAATGAAATGGCTCAATGATTTCCACATTTCGTTGGGCCACCTCTCCTTGGAAAGGGCACAGGGATGCATCTCTTCCGGTCTGCTGGCCAGGCAGCTGTCTTGTAGATTTCTTGGCATGAACAACGTGTGCCATGTCAGCACAGCATCAGCTTGTGGGAGCATTTCAATTGGCATCCCACCAACTCCCACAGGCCTGCTCTGGCTAATGCAGCTCAGACCTCCTTCATTACCACTGGGTCTTGATCATATGCTACCTCTTGAAAGGATTGAATGTTGGTTGACCAATTCTTTTTGGTCCACTCACTGTCATCTTCTTCTGAAGCCCCGAAACCAGCGCTAGTGCCTCACAAATGAAGGTACTTTGTCTGCTTGTGTCTTTGTGTCTCTTGTCCCACACAGAACTAGGACCCTGACCCTCTCTCTCATCCCACATAGAACAAGGACCCCGACCTTCTCATCCCTTATGGATTGAGGAAGCTGACCCTCTCATCCCATATAGAATGAGGACCCTGAACCCTTTCATCCCACATAGAACAATGACCCTGACTCTTGTCCCACAGAATGAGCACCCTGACCCCCTTGTCCCATATAGAACAAGGACCCTGACCCTCTCAAACCATATAGAACAAGGACCCCAACCCTCTTGTCCCATATAGAACTAGGACCCTGCCCTCTCATCCCATATAGAATAAGGACCCCGACCTTCTCATCCTTATGGATTGAGGAAGCTGACTCTCTCATCCCATATAGAATGAGGACCCTGAACTCTTTCATCCCACATAGAACAATGACCCTGACTCTTGTCCCACAGAATGAGCACCCTGACCCTCTTGCCCCATATAGAATAAGGACCCTGACCCTCTCATCCTATATAGACGAAGGACCCTGACCCTCTTGTCCCACATAGAACAAGGACCCCGACCCTCTCTCTCATCCCACATAGAATAAGGACCCCGACCTTCTCATCCCATATGGATTGAGGAAGCTGACTCTCTCATCCCATATAGAACGAGGACCCTGCCCTCTCATCCCATATAGAACTAGGACTCTGCCCTCTCATCCCATATAGAACAAGAACCCTGACCTTCTCATCCCATATGGATTGAGGAAGCGGACCCTCTCATCCCATATAGAATGAGGACCCTGAATCCTTTCATCCCACATAGACCAAGGAACCTGACCCTCTTGTCCCATATAGAACCAGGACCCTGCCCTCTCATCCCACATAGAACTAAGACCCTACCCTCTCATCCCATATAGAACAAGGACCCTGACCTTCTCATCCCATATGGATTGAGGAAGCGGACCCTCTCATCCCATATAGAATGAGGACCCTGAACCCTTTCATCCCACATAGAACCATAACCCTGACCTCTTGTCCCATAGAATGAGCACCCTGACCCTCTTGCCCCATATAGAATAAGGACCCTGACCCTCTCGTCCCACATAGATGAAGGACCCTGACCCTCTTGTCCCATATAGAACAAGGACTGTGACCCTCTCAAACCTAACCATATAGAATCGGGGCCCTGACCTTGGAGTAGGCAAGCCTGGAACCAGCCGCCCTCCCCTTCCAGCCCCACTTCCAGCCCCCCACTCACCAGCTGCTTGCAACTTGGCCAAGTGGTTCAACCTTTTGGCGCTTCCCTCCCCATCTGTGAGATGGGTACAGGACGAGTCATCTCAGGCAGTAGTTGTGAGGGTCACTCATTCGACAAGAAAGGAGAGGGAGGGAGCTGGGAGGGAGGGTGGTTCTGGGGACACAGGGGGACCGAGTAGCACTATTCCTATGGGCCCTAGGCCGGGCTCTCTAGCAAACAAAACCACCCAGCAATGTTTACAGGTGGTAGACAGAGCAGTTTAGCTCAAAGGAATGGCTCACACCGCTGTAGAGGCAGGCAAGTTCCAGGTTCACAGATGAGACGTCACGGGGAAGCCTTCTCCTGAGCTCACAGAGCTGCAGGGGCTGATAGACCCAGGATCGGCCAGTCAGACAGCAGGCTGTGGAGGTGACTGGATCCAGGTAAGATCCTGCCAGGCTGCTGGTCCCTCCTAGGTTAGTGGGCAATCTCAGATTCAGGCTCAGGTTCAGGGAACGAGATGTCAGATGCAGGATCCAGACCCCGTGCAAAAAGCAAGCCAGTGTTCCCACAGCATCCACGTCCATTGGAGGCAGCTCACACCTCTGAGGAAAACTCCTTCCAGTCACGGCTGCTCTAGTCAGTCTCATGGCAGAGGTGGTTACATGACGGGAGATCTTATCACGGCGGACCACGGGGCCTTTCCTACCAACCCCCTGAGAACCCTGGCCCAGGCAAGTTGACAGGAAACCTGTCATCCTCAGTCAGCATTCGCGTGCATCTCTCACCAGACCCAGTATCTCCCCAAGGCCAGGACTCTCTGGTCCAGGCTCCCCAGGAGGCCAGATTCTGCACCAAGCAGGCAGTTTGGTGTAGCGGGCAGGCTGAGAAGACGAACAGAGAGAAGGTCGTATTTCTAGAAGTGGGCGAGGCGTTGAGACCTACCAGGGGATAGGCCAACGGCTCATGAACGCAACTGCTAAGGGAATGGTCAGGGGTTGAGTCTACCCAGAAGGCCCTCAGAGGAGCGGCTGGAGATCTAGGAAACCTCTCTGGAGCGTAGCACGGCTCTGACTCAAGGGCCGGAGCCCGAGCGGGCATGGGGGCTGAGGTGACCGTTGGAATGGAGGCGGAGGGCCGCTGGGTGGACCCAGAGAGGAAATGCTTTGCTGGGAGCGGAGGTGTTGGGTGGCTCCAACTGCCTGCCCACAGCCGGGAGGCCACACGGCCTCAGGGGTGCGCACGCACAGAGGGTCCTTGTTAGAGCTGAAAGGGCCATGTGTTCCCTTCTCCCGGCCACGCCTCCCGATTCTGCCAAAACACACGCCAGGGACACCCAGCCACACCCACGCAACGGAAACACGGGGACTCCGCCGCCACCGGCCCTGGCTCAAGGCAATGCCAGCGCCCGCCAGCTCTCAGGACTGGCAACGTGCCCTGTAAAGGCTGTTTGGTCAGTGCCCCTGAAAGGCACCAGGGTCCGTGCATAAAGGCCCGCTCTCTGCCTCTGAACAGAATTCCCCATCCTCTGGCCAGGTCCCCCCACGTGGAGACTCCATGAAGTGCGCCCCGCCCACTGCCCGCCAGACCCTGCCCCCATCGGGCCCCACCCTGCCCAGCCCCAGCGGGCACTTACATGCGGCTGCTGGGCGGGATCTTGCGGCCCTCCCGGAACCAGGTCACCTGTGGCTGTGGGAAGCTGGCGATGCGTGGGGCGCGGATGACAGCCGCTTCTCCGTGGGAGACGCTCTGGCGCTTCTCGCCCTCCTCAAAGCTCCCCATGTCTGCAGGAGGGCAGGGGTCAGCGGTCAGGGCGGGCAGGCAGGAAGGGACAAGGAAGGGGGCGTCTCTGGAGCTGGGGTCACTGCGATCGAGCACTCCATTAACCCCACCACCCCTCCACCCATGACCAGGACCTGCTTGGGCTTTGTGCTTCTTCGAAAGATGAACACGTTAATTTTGTTGTTGGCGAACACATAAACACACAGCAGAACACACATCCCCTCTGCTGTTTCTGTACACGCAGCTCGGGGACATCAATTGCTTTTGTTCACCCTGAGCAGGCAGTCATTCTAAGCCCTGCCTGGGGCTCCAGGGCGGTCCCAAGGCCACACAGCCAGGGATGGGCAGCGGCGGCAGGATTTGAACTCTCCAGCCAGGGGGAGCTGCTGTTCCTCCGGCCTTGGGCTAGATCCCGGAGCCCGTGGGAGGCACGTGGGAGCCGGAGAGGACTCGGGGGCCCAGGGTTCCGTGCCACCCTCAAACGGGTGGGGAGAGAACAGATTCCTCTGTGCGGATTGTGTGCGGTTCTGAGTGCGTGTGAACATAAACACCAGATTGCGCTTGTAAAAATAGGCCTGTCCGCTTGGCAGATACAGAGGGGAAGCCGGGAGAGAAGCGGAGAGCAGAGGCGGGCGGGGCAGGTGGGAGCCGTCTGGACGCCCACCTGCCTGCAGAGACCAGGAAGGGCCTGCCTCCCACGGCAGTGGCTCCAGATGTGGGGAGGAAGGGACACTCGTGCTACCAGCTCTTGGAAAGGGATGGGTCTGTTACCCAAGAGCCCCAGGGGCGTGTGATCGGTTAGCACCTTTGGCTGCTAACCAAAGGGCTGGAGGTGCGAGTCTCTAGAGAGGCAGTGCCTCGGGAGAAAGGCCTGGAGGTCCTCTCCTCAAAAACCAGCCCTTGACCACGGTTGCCGAAACTCTTCTATGGAGACACGCAGAGGGTATCGTAAACCGGAACTGACACAAGGGCAAATGGATTTGGTTCCTCCAAGGGTGGTCCGTGGACCAGCGTGCGTGGGCACCTCCCACGTACTTGTTGTTGTCAGGTAGCGTTGAGTGGGTCCTGATTTACAGTGACCCTGCATATGGGACAAAACACTGCCTGGTGCTGTGCCGGCCTCACAGCTGCTGTTAGGTGGGAGCCCGGGGCAGCTACGGTGTCCATCCGTCTTGTCCGAGGTCTTCCTCTTTTTCGTTGCCCTTCCTTCTAATTTCCCGGGCATGGTGTCCTTCTCCAGGGACTGGGCTTTGGTAACATCCTGTCTAATCTAAAGTGAGTGAGGCAAAGTCTCACCCTCCTGGCTTCTAAGGAGCATTCTGGCCGTCCTTCCAAGACAGAGCACTTTGTCCTGTGGGCAGACCATGGTACTTCCATAACTCACAGGCATCAGTTCTCCCCTGGTCTTCCTTGTTGAAGGTCCAACGTTCACATGCATGGGGGGTGACGGAAGAGACCCTGGCTTGGGTCTGGAGCTCCTGACTCCTCACAGTAACATCCTCGCTGTTCAACACTTTAAGGAGGTCTTGTGCAGCAGACGGATCCAATGCAGTGCCCGTGAGACATGCAGAATCTCTGGTCCCAGCTCAGACTCACGGACTGGGTCAGAACCTGCATCTTAATAGACTAAGGTGACCAGACGTCCCGCTTTTGGTGGGACAGTCCTGATTTTTAACCATTTTTCCCACGTCCCGCGGCATTTTAAAAGAGTCCTGATTTTTGGAAAGAATGCACGACAAGCTAAGGTATACAGTTTTCGGCTGCCATGTGGCTATTTTGCCAGGATATGCGTTTTATCAATGGTGCTCTGCTTTACCAATGTTAAAATCTGGTCACCTTATAATAGACACCCCCCCAGGGTGACCCCCCCCCCCCAGCCAAGTGAAGTGTGAGCAGTAGGGTTTGTCCTCAGACTCGGCTGCAGCTCAGAATCACGACAGAGTGAGAAGTTGCTACTACTGGGGTCCCACTCCCGAGGCTGGGGCTCACTGACTGCCCATGGGAACTCCTTTCCGCTGGCCAACAGACCTTCACTCAGTCCCCTCCCCGTGACGGACTGCACACTTCCTAATCCCTGGGACCCATGAACTTGACCACGTCCAGAAAGAACCCCAAACCCAAACTCGCTGCCACTGAGGGGTTTGCGACCCTGTGCAGCAGGGCAGAATGCCCCTGTGGGGTTCTGAGACTGTGAATCCGTATGGCGGGTAGAAAGTCTCATCTTTTTCTGGAGGAGCTGCTGGTGGTTTTGAACCGCTGAACTTGTGGTTATCAGCCCCACGTGTAGCTCACGATGCCACCAGGGCTCCTTCTGCTTGGAGACAGGGCCTGGAGATGCTATGGGTCAGGAGAACACGGGGCAGGGCCATCCGCCCTTCTGAGTGTGGGCTTGTAGAAGAGGAGAGACAGAGACAGGGAATGCTCAGCTGGCCACTCACAAGCCAAGAGACGCCAGGGGCAACCAGAAGCTGAGAGAGTCCAGGAAAGAGCTGGCCTCAGAGCTGAAGAGTGGGCATGGCCTGCTGACAAGTGGACGTGGACTTCTGGCGTCCAGAACCGGGCACAGAGCACACACTGAGTTGAGTCATGTATCACAGATGGAAGATTTTTTTTTCAATAAATGTTAAGTTTGTGGCCACCCTGCGCCCAGCAATCACACTCTGGTTTGCTTGGCCCTTGGGGCATACCTCAGGAAGGCCTCCACCCCCTCGCTCGGATTCAAGGTCCCTCTATAACTGGACCCCGGGCTCCCTCTCTTCCCACACCTCGCCAGAGCCCATCTCCTGCCACCTTGGATGACTGACACCTCACTTCCTATCACAGGAAGTGTTGGGCCCCGCCTGGGAGTGACCGGGACAAGTCATGATTCAGCCAGGTGCCGTGACTCAAGAGTTTGCTGAAGGAATCTGGTCAGTCAACCAGGCCAACTCACAGTGACTCTACACGACAGCGCAGAGCTGCCCTGGGCGCCCCTAAGACTTTAAATCTCTGCCGGAGCAGACAGCCTCATCTTTCTCCCCAGGATTGGCTCATGGGTTTGAACCCATACCCTTGTGGTTAGCAGCGCAATGTGCACCCCACTAAGCCACCATAAGAAAGCCTGGCCTTGACATTCTTGCTCTAACTCTGGTAGACAGTATTTTCAATGTCTGTATACCAAAAACAAAACAAAACCCCACAAACAAACAACAACAACAACAAAAAAAACCCCAAACCCACTGAGTCAGCTCTAATTCACAGTGAGCTGGTAAGACAAAGTAGAACTGCTCCATGGGATTTCTGAGACTATAATTCCGTATGGGAGCAGAAAAACCCATCTGTTTCCCTTGGAGGGGCTAGTGGATTCAAACCACCAACCTTCCAGTTGTCAGCCCAACAAGCAACCCACTGTGCTACCCAGGCTCTTTGTGCAGTAGTCAGTGCCTTTCACAACTCAGTCCCCTTATTTATTAGCTCTGGTCTTAGGCACGGCTCCCGACCTGTTGAGCCTTTATTTCCACTTGGGTAAGAAGGGCTTAAGACTAGAGCGGTAGTCATAGGATTTTATGAAGGATTATGTATGAGTGTGTGTGTGTGGCCGGGAGGGGCAGGCTGGACCTTTTCAAAGTTGGCGGCAAGGAGGAGATGGGCCTCTCACTGGGCTGGCTGGGCTTTCTGACATGATGGACAGTCCTCCTGCAGAGAGGCGGGGTCTCTAATCCCTTCCTCTAGAATCTGTGGAGACTGTGACTAATCCACCATTAGCGCTTGCTGCGGGCGGTGGGCTCTGACTTCTGAGGCTAACTCAGCCCAAAGTCACAGCTTCCATCTGTGCTCTCTCTGTCTCGGGCCACTTGCCCATGGAATCCAGCCACCATGCTGTGAGCGAGCCCAATATCGCCCGTGCAGACGCGGAACTCAACCGGCGTCGAGAGGGACAGGGGTCCTTGCCAGCGGCCCGCCTCGGCATGAGGCACACGCAAGCCCCCCAGGAGTCCCAGCTCCCCAACCTCTAAGCCTTCTAGCTGTGGGCTCCCCCATCACAGCTTAGGGACAAGCCCTAGTGGTGCTCCGTCCGTCAGGACGTCTGACGCACAGCATCGGTGCACAAGCTAACCGACAGCATCACACGGCGAAGGGCTGGGGTAGTCTGTTTAATGGGGCCACAGAAATGGGAAGTATGTATAAAACCGCTATCCACATTCAGGGAGGAAGCCATGTCCCCAGTGAAGATTCCCCCAAGCTGCGCACACACAGAATGAAAGAACAAAGATTGGTGAAACTGTGAAGACCCGCACCCTGGCCAGCAGGCACCGAGAGCTCATTCTCTCCCCCTATAACCCGAGGAGCCCAGTTTTAATAAATTCAGATTTATTCGTTGTTTATTAATTTCTATTACTTGCTCTTGCCTCTGAAAATCACTTCGGTAAATCATACCGATTTCGGTTCTTGGAATAATTTTCTTTTTCTTAAACAAAACCACAAACAACAACATTTTCACAGCACTCGGAAGATATATTTGAACGTTTCTAAGCAATTTCATGCTAACAGTGTTTCTTTGTCCTCTCGCGCTTGTATTATTAGCTCCATTTCCTCGGTGAGGAAATGAAGGCTCATGGAGATAAAGAGGCTGATCCGAGCGTCGATGGGAATGGTGGGCCGGGGGGCCAGCATCAAAACTGGCCTGCCCCTTGAGCCTCTTGCTGGCATCGCTGGACGCGTCTGTGTAGCCTGCAGGAGGACTCTCCACGTCCACTCTGTAGACTGTCTGCTTTCAGTGGCAGCATTCCAGCCGAGACAGACTCCCCACCACCGAGTCAATTCCCACTCAGAGCGACCCTAGGGGACAGGGTGGAACTGTCCCCGTGGGTTTCCGAGATTATAACATTTCTTTTTTATTATTAATCATTTTATTGGGGGGGGTCTTTTACAAATCTTATAACAATCCATCATTCGATTTTATTAAGCACCCTTGGTCATATATTGCCATCAACATTTCCAAAAGTTTCTCTTTCTACTTGAG